AACCACCATGTTGTAGAGCTTACAAAAGTCAAAATTTTTATTATGGAAAACAAATAAAAATGTTGTATTTTTGGTTCATTTGATTAAATTTTGCTAATTTCTTTGATATTTCACTTAAAACTACGTTTACTACCTTTCCTGTAAACGTAAACCCAAGTAAAACCGAATAATTTTGAATAGGGAACTCATCTGAAAAGCTTATGAACTATTTTACTGAAAAGCCAGAAGTAAATTTGCAGGAGGTTTGCTGCAGCGAGGAATTTATTTATTTATTTTCATTTTCTTCTACATGTCTTTTTATACTTTAGCACGTTTTGGTTGTTTTGAGAAACAACTATCTTTTGAACAACACTATCAATTTTTTTTGTTCGCCCCCAAAGTATTTCTAGAGTCTTTTCATGCAAGAATCTACCACTCTTTGCACAAACTTTCAGTATTTGGTGAAAATTTCGAGAAATAATCCCTCTAAATAAATTACATCAAATCCGCCCAAAAAGACTTATCACTTTCAACCCGTTGGGAAAGATTCACTATTGTTGTCAATAAACCTATTAACAAATCAGATTTAGCTTATGGCTGTTCTGACAATTTTAATGCGAGATGCAGTATCAATAATGGGTGGAATTGTAGATTTGTTATCGCTGAAGTCGTTTCTAAAATACTTAATTAGTCTAGGATGAGCCCCACTGACTTATTTAAACAGCCATTTTGTGCTTTAGATAGGGTTATCTCTTGTTTGCGTTGTATTTTGTATGATTTGTCAGTTCGTAACTTTTGTTTCACAATGTTCTGCTAAACATGTTTGTGTTACTTGACTTTGATTAACAATATTTAGTCTTGATCAGGGGAATGGTTTAGTAGAATTTATTTAATAAATATAATACAACATGTATAAAAATTACGAGATTAAAGATTGCATTAAGTAGTATACACAATCCCTTGTGTTTTCACAATCTTTTACTTGTTAAGGAAAACCAAAGTGATTTGTTTTGTTTTGACAAAGTTCATATAGCATTAGGATATTATCCCACCCTCTTCTAAATTGCTGAAAACAATAATCAGCAACAAACTTTGATAGATAAAGTTTTTTGATAAATTGCCACAAGAGAACAGAGACCACTGAGACCAGGAAGTTCAACTAAATCCAAACTGCCAAGCTTATGAAAGTCTTAAATTCTTCTGATGATATTTTCGAAAATAAATATTAATTCCATCATTCCTGAGCTACTACCACTATATTTGTGTTGGTTGGTTGTCATTAATTTATGATTATTTGTCATTGTATATTGATTTGTTGCTTAATGTAAATTATTTCTTTATATCTGTTAGTCTAACAAGTATTCTTCAAAATCATATTACTGTATTTATTGTGTTCTTTGACGTTATATATAGTAATTACTATTTCAGATTTACCCTTGTGGATCAGTGAACACAAACAATAAGTTTATCCACAGTATACTAAGTCAAATATTCCTCAAAGTTTCCAATTAATTTTACTTCCTATTTGCATGGACAAATTTGTTTCATGCTTTCACAAATCAAATTAAATCCTGTGAGCTTCAATTATCCAAAACTTAATTTACCTTTTAAGAAAAGCATAATGAAAGCATGCTTTACCTAATTACAACAATGCCTTCCAACAACCTAAAGTTGTGGCCATTCATATTCTACAATGTAAACGACGCGTATGGCGCCTTCAAGTCTGTTGATGCAACTGTGCAACGGTTATGTATAGCACATAGCTGCTGAAAAACTGCAGGCGTCTTAACCACTTAGTGAAGGGTCTAAAAAATGTTTAGACACTAGAGTTTGGAGCTCTCTGCTCTACAGGAAAGCAACGAAACTACTTAGAAATACACAGAGTACATACCAATTTCCTTAGTAATTTTCTTTGTACTCCAGAGAAAACAAATATTTTTTAGCTTTTTTGTAAATGTTTATGACATCAGAAGGTTAACCCTTTTTAGGGTTTTGAAAACTATCGTATGACTGAAAATTTGCACAATGTGAACTAAACATCAGTACATCATCAAACCAGAATACAATATAGACACACGTATAATGAATTAATTAGTATGTTTTTAGTATTTTAATCTCTCCAGAAAGCTTTTGATGTTAATATTGTAAATTAAATTTGTATAAATTTGTTTAAATCGTTTTACATGATATTGCTCATTGTTGATAATATTTGTTAGAGTAATTTCTTCTGATGAATAAAATAAAAACATTTGCTTCCCTAAATACATTAATGTAATACATTACATGTAAATGTATTTAGACAAATACTTAGACAATTTTGCTAATTAAGATTTTAAGCGGTGTTGTGATTTACTTGAACTTGAACCAGTTTCTTCCTGTTTGCTAAGATTGATTTGCTTAACAATTTTATTTGCATGGATTCTTTCACAGTTTGGATAATTTGTAACTATTGTTGTTAATAATATAACATATAATTGTGGGTGAAATTTCCTATACTCTTACAAGGGGTTGTCAAAACAGTAAGCAACACAGCACTTTTAAGACCATATGTACCAAGAAATAATTTTGGTTAGACGTCAGTAAAATTCTATAATAATAATACCCCCGCCGCAGCAAACCTGCCGACTAAGCGAATTTCCATTTGTCTGAATTGATTTTCAGTTAAATATATTTTAATAACATTAGGTTTAACGAGTAGGTACCTGGGTTTGCTGCTACAAGGAAACTAATAAAGTGTGTTTTTGAGTAAAATATTGATAGCTTAGTAGAAAATAAATAAATTTGCCAAGTTTGATCAAAATATATTCATAAACAAGCAAACTACAACATTTGACAATATTCTCCATAAGACTAACATGGGAATTTTAAATTTAAAATTTTTTTAATTTTCTCCGTTACTTATAATCGAACAAAAATACTTTCATATACTAAATTATTTGTTTTTTTAAGCTCTTTAAAAAGGTCTAAAGAGAAATTGGGAAATTTTGTGTTTTGAGGGTCAAAAGTGAGAAAAACCAATTTTTACCCCATAAAACCCCCCGTAAAGCCCCGTTCCCATGGTCCGATCATGCTGGTTCGCGAACTCATTCAAGTTTATCCCGCTTTACACCTTTAAACCAAATTTCATCAAAATCGGACAAAAATTACTCAAGTTATCGCGTTCACGGACGTATATATATATATATATGTCTATATATATATATACATATATAAAAATTTGAACGAATAGTGTTTTTGGCCTCTGGGGACATCAAAATGAAAAAGTAAATCGGTCCCGGGTCTAGGTCTTACCGTGCCACCTACGGTAATAGCTACTTCCCTATAGGGAAATTCTCTAAAAGGGGTTTTATTGTTATATGCTTATGTTTAATCTTACTAATATTATAAATGTGAAAGTTTAGATGTATGGATGTATGGATGGATGTATGTTTGTGACAAGTGAACGCAAAAAATACTGGTCGGATCGGGCTGAAATTCGGCATGATGATAGCTCATATTCCCGATTAACATATAGGCATATTTTTATCCCAAAAATCCTTCCGGGCTCCGCCCCAGTGGCTCTGGAGTTTCCCATGTTAACCTTATGAGAAATGGAATTAATGAATCTTAACAGCTGTTTCAATTAAACAAGTTGGTTCTGTTCTATGATGTTCAATAGCATTCAAGTTACAAGGATTAACAACAGGGTGCAGCACTATTATTTCTTTTACATTTATAACAACAGCTAATTTGCAACCAAAAGGTGAGTGAGCGACTGAGCGTAGCGAACGAACTTCAACCTGGAGGCGAGTGAGCGTAGCGAACGAGCTAACCTGAAGGCAAGTGAGCGTAGCGAACGAGCTAACCTGAAGGAAAGTGAGCGCAGCGAACGAGCTCCAACCTAAAGGTGAGTGAGCGTAGCGAACGAGCTCCAACTTAAAGGTGAGTGAGCGTAGCGAACGAACTTCAACCAGGACGTGATTGAGCCATGCAAACGAGATCATCTTGAAAATTAAGAAGTTAAACGGGGCAAAGCCCGCGGGTTACAGCTAGTTTATCATATGAAAAGGCCAGTTCATGAAATTTCTTATTTGTCCTGAAACTATATTAAGGCGTTTTGAGGGGAAGTTCCCCCACCACTTTTTTGTACTATTATCATAGATAAAAGGAATGTATGCTGCTTAATCAGCTGTTAAGCTATTATTTTAAAGGTAAGAGTCAATTTGAGAGGATAAATTTATTCTCCTAAAACCGCCTAAATATTCGAATGAGGTATAGTTTTGTTACCAGGTGTTCTAGGAATCCCAGTCTTCCTCAAAACTTTACATGTTAATTTAAGAAATGATACATAGCAGACCAATAGCCTCTTCGTAACGCTACACAGTAAGTAACTACTTTTCTGTATTCTTTGTAGACCAGAAAGCTGTTTACAGAAGGGGCGTTAAAATAAGCTGGAGTATGGCAAAATCAGCTGGAATCCAGTATAAATCACTAGTACGGGACGCATAAAAAAAACATATTATGAGTTTTATCAGAAGTTGGTCTGGAATTACGCTTTTCAATAACTTTTAACTTATGATGATGGTCGCCGACCCCCAAATCAATCCTACAACCACAGCCAGCAAGTGGAAGTTTCCTGACATCCTTTTCCGATGGGGCCTTAGCCCGCAACGGCAGAGCGGGGTTTTGTCTTGCTAACTATAAAGTACCCCTTATATATTAATAAATATTATGGATAAACATTAGAACTTGATTGTTTTAAAATAGCTAAACGGAAACGGAACGACTAAGTTTACAAATAGTTTCTGGATCCATGTACTAAATAAAAAAAATAAAGTCATAGCCAGATTACTCTCTAGGAGCTAGGAGTTGCCATATCTAAAATACATATGAATGGTTCTAATTTTTTCACAACAGAATTAGTAGTCTATAAAATTTCAGTGATTGTATCCAACACACTTTAAACTATTTATTATACTATAGATTTACGAATATTGCTGCTGATCCGTTTGTCCTGTTGGCAGCACTGATATTTGAGATTTCCGTTCCGTAGGAAAAATAAACTCTACATTTTTCCGGTTGGGTCTTTTGCACTGTTTCTGCTAGTGACAAAGGTATGTAAACCTTTTAATCGTTCGTAATCTCTTGTCACAGAACAGATATATATGATTTATTATTTTAAATTCTATTATACACCTCGTAGCTTCTTGTTTCAGACAAATGTCACCTGCAGTTATGTCTCTAAATTATTTTCGCCAACATAACCTAACCCTGCACTTGGTGCTTCTAATACTTATAGTGCGAAGTTAGTTGTTTAAATTGCTCCTAATTAGTTCTTTACTGTAAGCATTTCGTTTTTAGAGCGTTTATTGTAAACTCTTGACTACTCTAACATTGCAAAGCGTCATGTCTAAGCGTACATAACCTAACTTGACTATGTTGTTTACTCCTTAGACCTACGCCTAGGCCTTAGTTACTGTACTAGAGAAGGATACCACCCCTACCTCTTTTGACGTCCGTTAAGTTTTCTTAGGTTGTAATAAGCAACCCTGCTACTATTATATTAGCTTAATGCTGGATTTTGAATTGTAGGATCACCATGGTGAAGGCAAAAGGTGAGAAGAAGGGTAAATCCGCCATCAATGAGGTTGTCACAAGAGAGTACACAATCAACCTCCACAAAAGGCTACATGGAGTAGGTTTCAAGAAACGAGCACCCAGAGCCATCAAGGAAGTGAGGAAGTTCGCTGTTCAGAAGATGGGCACACCTGATGTTCGTGTTGACACTCACTTGAATAAGCAAATTTGGTCCAAAGGAATCAAGTGAGTACAACACCTGACTTTTTAGACCTAGGCCTACCATGTACTTTGCAGTTACTTGTCTGAGTTGCAGTAAGTTAGTTTTAAGGGCAAATATTTACTGTATTTGCACTGGGATATGATGTAATTTTTATATGTCTACTTACAGTATTTTAAACCCTCCGAGTGTTATTTGTCGAAAAACCGACTCATAACACACTTTGTGTAGTGTTATGTGTCGATTTTGCAACACACAAACATCGTTTACGGCGTAGGCTCTATGACTGACTGAATCGGATTGAACTGGAATCGAGTTAGGTATCATTTTTTTCAGCAGATTCAGAGCTTTCTCCTGATGTCTGTTTCTTCATTTTAGTTCCTCCTGATGTCTGTTTCTTCATTTTAGTTCCGAAAATATTGTAGCAGATAGCTGACGTGCGTATATTTAAACAGCTTGGTTAACCTCGCACCGATGACTGATGTGTTTTATTACGTTTATCATTGTTTTAGTGTTAAAATCAAAAGTAATGATATACGTGGTGCAGTATAAGAAGATTTAAATGATTTTGAAGGGCTGGTTGATAATCCTGAAGAAGTAAGGTAGTGATATTGATGTAAATTATCAGCCAGATTCTTATCTATGGTTAGGCTATGCATTCTTAGCTAAACGCTATGTACCGGTACCGAAATCGGTTTTTTGCTCATAACTTATTTGTTTGCAAATCTACTTCCTTATATTATTATATTTTTGGAATCCTCATAAAATTCTGAACAAAGTGGCTATTTTAAAATATTTGTAGACCTTAGGCTATAACAATTTATTGAGCGCAAACATAATTTTAATTTTTTTTTAATATAACCCAGCGATTGCGCAATAAATGGGCGAACATTAAGATCAAAACTATGGACACTTGGAGGGTTAACGCTGAATCCAAAAATGCAATCAGTTTTTGTCGGAGAGATTCCTAAGTGGCCGTAAAACAAAGGTTAGGATTACGAATCTAAGGATAATTGAGCGGTACTGAAGGTAATGGTAATATGGTGTGGTCTGGGTCTGGACGGGTCCGTACTGAGTGAGGAGTGAGGACTGGACTGAGTGAGAAGAGCAAACAACTGTTAATACTTGATCTAATGCGGAATGAAATCAAATCAATTCGTTTTGAAACCAAATAATCAGTTCTTATTTAGGCATATGAGGAAGGTAGGTCGGGTTTTATGTGGATTCGTGACTGTATTAAGTGTTTTGAAGTGAGGTTAGATTAAAGAAGGTAAAGGTTAGGTTCATTATAACCTATCCTTTAACTTACCTAATCTAACCTCACTTCAAAGGACTCAATACAGTCACGAATCCGCATAAAGTCCGACCTATCTTCAATGCAATTTAAATATCAATATTAAGGTTGGGTTGGGTTAGGTTAGGTTAGGTTAGATTAGGTTAGGTTAGGTTACCTTAATTTAAAATATAGGCTAATACATAACTTATAACTTTCCTACTAGGCCTACAGTAACTTATGTAGAAAATTTTAACTTAACCTACCTTGCTTAATACTTTGGCCTATACAGCTTTGCTGCGGCCTTATAAAACGCGTGGACTCGATTGATGTTAGGGTACTGTTTCTTGAATTGCAACTCCGCCAGGTACCCGATGAAATGTTCGGACCTCACCCCGTATTTGGGGATGTGGTCTCTAACGTCTCTCCAACACCGCTCAATTCGGTTTGTATGGGCACCCGTGACGGGATCAATAAAGTCAGTACTATGGTTCACAGTTAAATGTTGGAAGCCGTACTTCCACAATCTGCTGTACGACTTCCAACAGTCAGTAATAATGGTTCTGCCAGGCAAAACCCAGCGGCGGATTAGTCGAATTAGCGTGCGCCTTGAGCGGTCAGGAACGGGGATTAAAAATGTTTTTGTAGAGCCTCTCTGCACTCCCCCCAACACCCAGTTTCCCTTCACTCGCCTACCTCGTTTGTATTTACGTTTACCAAATTTCGCCTCGTCTATTTCAACAATCTCACCTGGCCCGCCTAGTCTTTCAGAATTTGTTACACAATCGTCAATGTACACTTCTCTTATAAAATAATACCAATCTACAACAGTTTAACTTGACAGATTAAGATTTGTTTCCAGGACATTTTGCCGGGGTGGGTCAAAAAAAAGATAATGATTGACTAATCGCCAAAGTGTACGAATTTGTAATCTGGATTTGCCGAAAATAGTGTCTACTCTGCAAGATCGCACCCACTCACACCTTTTGGCTTTCTTCTTGTTAATTGAAACTCTGTTCCAGCATCTGATAAACCACTTATCGTTCAATTTTATGTTTGAATGACACCTCGGACAATTCGTTTCGTTATTTACAACCCCGTGCTTAATTAAAAAACTTTTAATTTCATTATCATCGAACACAACCGTTTCATAAAAATTTTGGTCACACGCATTGCAAATATCAGCCATTACTAATTTCTAAATCGGCAACAATATTTAAACTTACTTGATAATTAATAAGTTGCTATTTCAGATGTTATTAATCTGTATCTATTTTCTGGGCGCATTTTAGCATAATAATCCATTGGTTGGCTAGCAAACTACATTACAGCAATTCAGTGACAGTTGACAGTATCTATTTGGCATTGGTGAAGTGGTCGTGTTATTGTATAGGCTAACAAATCCTTGCATTTTACGAGAATAAAAATACATTTATTGATTGATGATAATATGTGAATAACTCAAGATAACTGAAGCTTGACATTAATTATATAACTGTATGGCCACTTTGGAATCTCTCCGACCATAACTGATTGCATTTTTGGATTCAGCGTTCAAAATACTGTAAGTAGACATATAAAAATTACATCAAATCCCAGTGTAAATAGGGTAAATAATTATTAAGTTTCAAGTTAGGGGGCCTAATTTCTGTGCAGTAAAATACCTAAGTTAGCCTTTTAGCCTATAACTTAATTATCTGACTGTGCCTGACTAAGACAATGTCAAGTTCTTCGTTGTGGTTAGTTTCTATGTCGTACCGTAGGCCTACAAGTGTGATGCAGTAATGGGCAGTTTGATTAACAAATTTGGTGTTTGCGTTCGGTCAGTGGCGTAGATAGACTCTTGTCATGGGGGGGGATACCGGGGGGTCTGGGGGGTATGGAATACCGCCCAGCAAGCAAGGGGGGTCCTCCCCCGGAAAATTTGAGAAAAGTAACTTCCCTAAACACTATTTTTAAGCGTTTAGGAAGTGAAATCTGGTGTTAATACTTAATACATTTTATGCAATTTTGTTGCAACTTTTTGCTTTAATTGCAGGTGGACTAGTTTTTTTATTACATTTATTTTTAAAGTACTTAGGCTAGGCTTTTTGTTATATGATAACATTTAACGTTATGTTTCTCTAACACTTCCTTTAACACCGAATATTTTGATTAATATGTTTACGCCACACAACACTATTTTGATGAACTTCCCCAAAAGGATTTAGTCCAGAAAACATCTGTTTGCCACCAGCTTAATCAAATGGGGTTTCATTGCGTACTACTGTAAGGCGGCCGTGACTATACTGTAATGAGTTTTACCGGTCACCAATCAGCTGATTATACACTGTATTTGCGTGGCAATGAGTGTTTATAAACAAAAACATAACCTCTCTTAGAGATTACGACTATTGATTTTTAGTCCTTTAGTTGGTGGTCATATTTAAAGATTTGTAAAGATTTATTAGTATGGCTATTGTACATAACTCGTCCAAAATGTGTTTGCCGAACTCGTATGGTAATCCCGTACTCGACCTCGTCTCGCACGGGAACGACCACACTCGTCCGTCAAACACTTATTTTCAGGACTAGTAACGTAATATACTATAACGTGACTTGGCCTATTTAAAAAAATTTATTTCAAAGGCGAGTAATAAAATCACTTAACTTCGTTGTTCCATTGCCACACCAGCTAACGCCTCCAAATTTTCGTTTCGGGGCGAAAAACCCGATCAGTTTACTTCACAGACACTCAGAACACTCATGAGACACCACGGAATACAAAAATCATAAAAACACACTGGCACAATAATTAACACCAGACGACAGATCAAGCGTAGTGTGGGAGACGGGGTATAGGAGGAGGGTGTCGATGGGCGGTTGAACGCGGAACGTCCGGTGACTCACGTCTGTTTGGCACGCAAATATCCCACCCCACCACTGCTACCGGCATGTAGTTTATCTGTTTCCATTTATTCATTGATAATGAAGTGCTACTACCTTTGGGTGTTTGAACTTAGGGAACTACTTACTTCCAATCTCGGGGTAACGTAGTACAATCACTGCTTCTCTTTTGTTATTTGTCAGATTGAAATATTTGAATGCCAATTGCGTTCGCTGTTACGGTGCCGCGCCGGGGCTTTGCCCGGGCCTCGCCGACATTGGCAAGCGCCTGTTGGAATGCATGCCGCACTGAACGTGTTAACTTAGACCTAACCTAATCTTAATTTGGCTGGTCTAATTTGCTCCCTGTAATTATTAAGTTAGCTTTTTTAAACATTTTTTTTAGGCTTGGGCATTCAAAGAGAATTTTTATGTACCAAATAATTCTTAGGCATAAAACTTAGTAACTTAAGTTTTTAAATACGCAGAGGATACGCGTCCGGTAACCGGAGGTGGATTAGGCATCCGGCAGTTACTGTCATAACCTAACCTAACCAACCAATCTTGCTGATAATAAAATAATCAAATAAAGGTCAAATTCTGTTCATAAAATAAAATTATAAATGCCAAAAATTCTATCAAAAGATGTACAGTTAAAAAGAAATGGCATTCAAAGTAAAATATTTGACAAAAAGTTAAAGTTACCGATAGGATTTGAAGTAGGGATCTTTTGAATATCAGCCGAGCTGAGCACTCTATCCACCAACCCCGATGGCTGTACTTCGTATCGTAGTGGTAATGGCGTTCCAGGCCCCCACAACCCGGTGACGTCACTGCCAAACGCCTAATCCACGTCCGGTAACCGGACACGTATCCTTTGCATTTTGAATAACTTAATCCTGCCAGATTTTGATCTCTTTATGCTAGTAGGCTAAGTTACAGCCTAGAATAGGCTTACCAAGTGAGGTCTTTCGTTCAATCTCCTTCACTGATTTTAATTCTTCACTATTTGGTCTGCAGTTATCGGAACTGTTCACAGTCACACAATAGGCTTCTCTAAACATATACCACATACACATATATTATCTTAGCCCGTATGACTTATGGTCTCTCATGTCACTATGATTTTTAAGGCTACCAACTGCTTAGAACTAGGCCTCCTATGATTTTATTTAGGTAGGTGGTAACTTAACAAAGTTTAAAAATTCACCCTATCATCTCAATTTCTAACTTAATCTTTTGTGCTCAACGTAAATCGTTGAGTGCGGCCTAAGTATTGACCCAGTGAGAGCCTTTGCGGCAAGACGTTATTTTGCTTGCCGCTCATTGTTCCACTTTTATTCTTCAATCAGGTATATTTCGTTTTCAGATCTGACCATTTTTATCGGTGGTGGGGACTGTTCCAAATTAAGTGTAATGTAGGGGTTTGTCTGGGATTAATTGGTCATATGGTGACCTTTGTCCAATAGGTTGCCTTATAATGTCTTAATCTCCATCAGCACTCGTAGGAACAGTTCATCGTCAAAGACAACTATAGTGACGATTAAAAAGGGTGTTCTGAAGGTAGGTAGTCTTTGCCACTATATATTTCAATATGTAATACATAGCTTGTAATACTGTCGCATACTTCGAACTTTTTGATACTATACTGTTTATGCTTCTTATTGGGTAATCGTATGAAGGCGCAGCGATTCTTCATACCTATAAGACTTTCGTCTATACAAACATCTTGTGAAGCAACAAAGTGTCTCTTGAATCGTGAATTTACATGGTCTAAGAGCCATCTCACTTTCAACCACGGATCGTAGTTTGGGTCGTCTCTAGGAACATCTCGAGCTGAGGTCATGTGCAAAAAAGAACTTATCAGGGCAAAGCGGTTCACTGTCATTTGCTTGCCATAAAATAGACAGCATTGTGAGCTCCTTGTGTCCCAGTAGTGTCTGACATTATTTTTCACTGTTAGGCCCATGTTTATTAGAATTGCAAAGAATTTTTTCAATTCGATAACAGTGACATTTGTCCATTTTCTAAAACGTGATTTTGGGCTCAGGGTATCACGCTTTGCAGCGATAACTCTTTCGGCATAAGAGTTTGTTTCTCTGGCTAACAATTGCCAAAAAGGAGCGGTCAAAAATAGGGAAAGGTAATCTAGTGGAGGACTATTTCTGGGAGGTAAGTCCTTAGGCCCTGTTTGCCTTGCTCTAAACTCAGTTCTTATGTCAATTTCTGGTTCGGGAGGATCACAGTATGAATAGCGACGGCATCACAGTATGTTGTAGCAGATCAACAGAAATAGAGCAGTGACAGGACACCACAGCAATGTTTCCAATGTTGCCATATCATATGCAAATCCAATTAATGACCCAAGTTCTGCCACTTGAGGTACACAAGCGGCCTATTTAAGAGCCCACCCTAAGCTTAAAAGCTTGAATGATTGAACTAAGTAAGAAAATCAAACATGATCTATAGTGATCGCAAAAAGCGTCTTGAGGACATTGGATTCCTGAAGTCGACTATGACTATGATTACCTATGCCATGATTGTGGAAATTCTCTTTACAATTCTGCCGTGATCGTATGATGTTTATGGCTCTTGGATTAAAGATGTTTACGCCTTTGCCGCAGTCACATAAAACGATGATAACATCTTTGCAGCTAGGAATTTATTTAGATAGTGACGTTAAAGACCAAAAAATAGAAATCTTTAAGTTTTTTGTAGTTTTATAATTTAAGCATCTCTGGATATTAAAGCGACAAGGGGAGTAGATGATCATTGAAACGACGCCTATGATACATTGAATTGATGTTCGCAGGGATTTAGGATGATTCTAGAACCGGTATTAAATTCATAGTCACCTAGTATCGTGATTCAGAATCAGATAATTCCAACTCTTAAGGGTCAGCTGCAAAATTCATGTCTCAATACCGGATTTTACACGGCAGGTAAAAATCACTAATCAGGCAATTCAAAGTTTTCACGGTAGTGCACCCTGTAAAATTGTGTTTTTATAGGCCTAATTTATTTCATTGCAGCCTGCATGTATCAAAGGTTCTTTGACAGTTGCACAAAAATCAATTTATCAATCATTATATCCACGTGTAGTATTGTTGCAGGTACAATTATTTTGTTTACACCGCTGGATTAGTATTTAACTTTTAGAAAGTACTATGGCTTTTCTTTACCCAAGGTGATACTGAAGTGCTAGGCGATTTGAACCATATTACAAGGTCTAGGAAAAATTTATATCTTCATCATTTTAAAAATGTATTTGAGATTTGGTTTATTTTTTACATGAATACTTTGCACTAGGCCTAAATGAAGATGATATTGTAATTTTTACTTAGGTCTATAACAAAATTGTATGTTTTTTTTCTGCACCTTTGCCCAGTAACATTCAAGAGTAGGTAGATAAATCGTTAAAACCTAACTTAACCTAACCTAACTTGTTTCAGAAACGTTCCCTTCCGCATCCGAGTTAGGCTAGCAAGGAGACGCAATGATGACGAAGACTCGCCTCACAAGCTGTACACTCTCGTCACTTACGTCCCCGTCGCATCCTTCAAGAAACTCCAGACAGAGAATGTTGACGCAAGTCAGGAATAATGTGTTTCTATAAATAAAATGTTTTAAAAACCATGGTTTTTCGTTATTTCCAGGACACTATTAAAAATAGTTTGTTAAAATTTAGAGATTTTCAAAACGTTTAACTTTGATGAAGACTTATGTTGTACATATTATGTTCGCCTATGGCAGTAGAGTAGGGCCTATGGTAATTTTTTTAATATCATGAATTCCTAGGGTTAGGTCTAATATATCGTATGGATGATTCAGTAAGATTACTGGAGGCTACTATTTTACTTGTTTCTTGTTGAAAAAGAAAACCTAAGCAACATGTCTTACATTAATTTAGTCTAAACACTCTAAAAGAAGAACTTTCACAAAGTAAAATCCATCACTAAGTTTCATAAGTCAAGCTTCTCACATTTGATGATGACTGGGAATTAAACACACCAGATAGATTCTTAATTAATAATTAAGCTTGAGATTTATAATCTAAAATGTCTGAGATTTCTACTGTCATTTTAATATCTGAATTTAACCAACAAAATTGAAATCAAATGTCTTTATTTTACAAAATAATATCTTAATACACCTGCTGCAGCATTTGCAGTCATTTATCGTAGAGCAATAGGCTAAAAACATTTTCTGTCACTAATGTTCTGATGTACATAATATTATTGTGTAGATACAAAACTCTCGCTGTCCCAATTTGTAATGTATTCACTTTACCCGGGGACCCCTATGATTTAGACTCCCCTGTTGTGGAGTATAGTGCCTCGTTTTCCTCTTCACGAACGGATGAGAACCTCTTTGGGAATGAGTGGGGGCGTGACGTCACTCTTCTCTTGAGGAAACACCATTACCGTAAAGAGATGTTACGATTCCATCGGTGTTCGTGGCGTGGTTGATAGCATCTCGGACTGGTGATCTGGAGGTCTCCAGTTCGAATCCCGCCGGGGACACTAACTTTTTGTCTAAGATTGTGCTTAGAATGCAAATTCTTCTTAACTGTACATCTTTTGTTAAAATCTGAGGCATTTATAATTTTATTTTTGAACAGAACAATTTTTTTTTAAATTAGTTAACCTTCATTCAATTTTTATCTTATATATTTTTTATGTCATCAGCAAGTTTGGTTGGTTAGGTTAGATTATTTCAGTTTAATTTTATAATTAAAAAGTTAATTTTATAACTAAAAAGTTATCAAATAAATTTAAAGATTTTCTTAAATCAACGTAAGGGGTTCTCCCACAATTCCCCACTCCTTCGCAGAAAAGGTTCTTATCAGTTCCGGACGAGGAAAATGAGACGCTAGTTGTTGTTGAGGTCAGTGCAAACTCAAACCCCCTGTCACTTAAACACTTGCTATCACACCTTTCAACATAACATTAGTTTTCCCCATCCCCAGTCCACGATTGTATAATCAATGGCATTTTTGTGGCTTCCTCAAGTATACCTTGTCAACACATAACCTTCCCTTTTCTAGAATATTCTGTTGCCTAACTATTTCTCTCTGATAGATTAACTAACCTGGTCTTTAACCAATCACCTCTTTTGATCCCCTTCCCCCTCACCAATTTTGAAATATTAATATTCTCCAGCCTATTCTTTTGTACCATCTCCAAACTTTAGCTTTTAATAAATTATTTGTGTTCAAATGTGTTCACACCATCTTAATCCAGTTATCAATTCCTTATCTATCATTTGACTGCCCTTTAACCCCGGGGTAAAAAATTGTTTAATCTTTTACTCCCTAGTTTGATATTTGAAAAACGGAAAACAAAATATTATGACTTAGTATATTCATATGCACTTATGAATATACTAGCTGGCCCGACAGACGTCGTCCTGTCCTAATGTGGTTTTATGTCTGATGCTTGTTCATTTTCAAGATGAGCTCGTTCGCATGGCTCAATCACGTCCTGGTTGAAATTCGTTTGCTACGCTCACTCACCTTTAGGTTGCAAATTAGCTGTTGTCATAAATTAAAAAAAAATAATAGTGCTGCACCCTGTTGGTAAACCTATTAACTTTTTAATGCTGTTGAACATCTCAGAATCAAATTGTTTAGTTGGACCAGCTGGACTTACATATTTCGTACTATGTAGCCTAATAAGTCCCACCTGAACGAAAAGACAAACTTTAATCAAACAAAGTGGTATGGTCGAATTTTGTTTCTCCGTTGGTAATTGTGTAACTACTTTATACAACAGATTTATTTAAAAAAATATTCTCTTCAATCTCTTCCCGTTGCAAAGCATGGGTAGCAGCCAATACATCCTAAAATCAACATATCTCGAAGTAAATAAATGATTCAGTCATTCATATCTTTCCTGTAACATTTTCACCTACTTTCGTTGTCAAAGTGCCTAAAATTAGGACCGTGACGCCAACAGGCATTGATTCCCAACACAAACAATTACACAACCCCACGTGTAAGTTAACCAGATCAAGTCACGTTGAGCGCTACAACTACCTTGTACCTCTCATGTCTCGAGAGGGAAAATGTGAGTCAGTCTCGTAACACAATATTTTAATGTGTCAGTAAAAATTTTAATAATTTGTGCACCAATTTAATGCCAAATAACATATAGATGGTGGATAATTAACTGAATCTTTGATGTTTTTAAAATTTGTTGTAAAGTGAATCATAAAATAAAGATGACCTATAAACACAAAATGTTGAACTTAAATCGTAATAGTAGTAGCGGTCCCATGTTGTGCAATACACCACAATTTTTTTAAATATGTATAAAAAAATAGGTACTTTTAAAACTAAATTGATGTTCAATTATACATATAAAACATGGTTTTGTGTGAATGTATCTTTTCCATTTTTAATTTTTCAATTTATGTTTAAGGGGGTCAACCATTGACTTATCAAACCATAGTTATGAAATTACACAATTTAAAGCATTTTACTTCAATGTTAAACTGTAAATATAGATAAAACATCATTGTACTTAGGATTGGATTTTATTACATCCAAACTTGGGTTCAAGAGGTCAGGACCCCCGGTTAGACACCAGATTTTGGTAAAAGAATCTGCCAACCAATAGGTACATCATTGATTACCGCTCGATGTTGTATTGCATCATGGAGATTCTCATAAGTTTCGTACTGGGGTTTGCTTCTTCTCTTTCAAAGAATGCCAGTCCTTAATTTACCTCTATCCTCATTCCTCATCAACATAAACAATGTATTGAAGAAATAATTTACTACCATGTGTGTTTCGTGAAATTTTGTCAATAGACGATCATTTGGGCTGCCAGCCGCAATTTTTTTACCATGTTGCGGTTTTCTGTTGAGCATTGATCGCTCTGCTTCTTGAAACATACCTTGAAACCGATCTCTTATATTCTTGATCCCTAATATTATTGATTCTTGTATACCTTGGTTTTTTTGGTGAGTCGGTGGCTCAGTAGGTAGCATCACGGATTTCGAGCCCAAGGCAGCGATGTCGTGGGTTCAGATCCTGGTTACTGCCACTAAAATGTATCAGTACAATATTCACCTTCGTACTGTACCGGCTCACGCCTTGCTTTGCTGGATACGTCCCACTCACAGATCTGTAGTCTATGTGGACGGGCAAAGGATAAAATGTATTGGATAAAGAAGATCGCCAACCTCTTTAAAAAAATTAAAAAAAAAAAACACAAGGATTTAACATATGGTCAAGATCAGAACAGTGTGCTACTAAATTCTCTAGAACTATTTTCGTGTATACAACTAACTCGAGAGGATTTTCAGGACAACCATCGTCAAAAGTTTTTCAGAACTTTTCCCGTTTTGATGCTTGGACATAAGGATTTAGGTAAGGAATCAATTTCTTAAAATCATAACACAAATTTTGTCATACGTCCTGTCTCAATCTAGCTGCTTGTACAGAGTTAGAAAAATAAACTTTGGCATTTTGGGTATTTATGTAGTTGCGGTTTACGATGAACCACCTTCAATAACACAAGTACGATCCATTGATGTTGAGTTGTTACAACTGGTGCTTATCATAGTCAAGGTATCATTAAATAGTTCCTGCAGAACTTTTTGAAATCTTTTTCTGTATGACCAGTAAACATTTCATTTAACTTTAATTTTTTCTTCAATTTGGCAATACAGTTTACCAACATGATGATTATATACCTATCGTTTTATTTTTACTCGCAAGGTAAAACGTAACAAAACAAAACCTACAAATTATTCTTATCACCAAGTTTGTGTATATCCAGATTCCTTTGTAAAGCCTTTCTTCTCAATCGACCGAGATCCATATCACCAAATTTCCTCCTCCTCATGTTTTTCAATATTTATTTTCAAATTGTAGCATTTTCTTTTCTTTCAATGGAAACTACTACGAATTACCACAAAACTTTACTGTATCTATAAAAACGTCATTATTTAATTTGCACAAAAACTAAGTGTTTACACTTACTATTAGCAGAGTAAACTTAAGGTTTACATATTTTTAGAAAGTTCAACAATTGAATTAGCATTAATCAGCTGATTTAGTGAAACATGGACTCTCTTTACTGTCCATAGAATTTTCAAACCCAATATCTTTTTATACGTAAGTGTACCAACAACAACACTTTAGATTTCATTAATTTGTCTGGATAGCCAAGTAGGTTTAGTGCTTCCCTTCAAATATGGAGTTCGCTGGTTCGATTCCAAGAGATTGGTTCTGGACCCAGATGTCATTTGGCTAATTAATATAATGCTTTCTAATAAAATATCAACATTGGACCAGACTAGAGCTTGGATTGTTCACATAAAAAAATAATAAACAAGAAAATTATGTAAATAAACACAAAAATATATTATGTATTTCCTCTTTCCACAAAATTCAAATCATCGGGAATAGATTTGATTCTCGATGATTCAACAGGATTACACTAACAGGCCTACCCGAGCACCAATGGCGCAGCAGAAGGTCTAGATCTTGTTAGCCGAAGTATAAAACCCGGGGAAGCCCCAGGGACGCCAACTTTGTCCGGATATTTCTCTCGCTCCAAAGCGTTTGTTTCTGTTGTTTGTTGATTAGCAGAACAGCCTAGGTGCCACTGTGCCTGGAGTCCTGGAGACCCACGCCGACCATCTTGGTAAGTCAAAATTTCCCCAAAATTTCCCTAAAATTCCCTTCTGAAGTCAAAATTTGTCCTAATTTAGTTTAAAGTCCAAATATTCCTCAATACCCTTTAGATGCTTTTCTGACTTTTCCTTTATTGATTCAAAATTACCTCTAAATATTACTATAGTGTTGGCTTTAAAAATCTTAAGTTCGTTGGTTCGATCCCAAACTGTTTCAATTCTAGAAACAGTTTTTCATAGAGCTATCAGTTAAAATGCTGTTTATTTCAGATTGATGTTGGATAGTGTAATATGACCATGGTTTGGACTGTTTCCATGCAAAAATCTAAAAAAATGCCACTACCAAAAATATGCCCTTAAAATAAATTTCAGAAAATTCTGGGTGAAACCACTACTTTCTCAAAATAAATGTAATAGCCTAAAAAAGTTAAAAGACTAAGATACAAGTCGTCTATGTATTTATTTTGATTATTGACTATGGATATAATTATAGTTGAATAACGACGGTGGGATTTGTTATTTTTACTTTTTATTTTACTGTATAAATCGACCAAATAACATGAATTTAATTTATTTCTGAATTCTTACTTCAATTTAAGATGTATTTCTCCATTTATAATCATGAAAAACCAGCAACGTGATCATATAATCGTATATATTTTGGAATAATCCTACACAAATATAAATTTTATTATTTCGATGATATAATATTTATTTCAATGCTGCGGAGCAGCATGGGTAGACAAATTCACTGGTTATAAAATATTATTTTAAAACATTATTCAGTGATGATTTGTTAAAAAAATAATTTGTCCTGGTCCTCAGGTATTAGAAGAAAATCTGCGAGGTAAGCAGAGGTTGATAATGCTCATCAAATTAAAGGTCTTTTTTATAAAAATACAATGCCGCAAACCCTACCTCAAACGGCCCACCGAGTCAAAAATTACAGCATTGCGAATGTTGATAAAATAAAGTGAGGTAGGTTTCTAAAGATTTAAAGAGACAACGAATGAATGAGGTGCTTCTTATCTTATCTTATGTCCCTTATTCATTCTCATTCATATGTCCCCTTTCATTCGCGCCATTCATTCGCGCCATTCATTGTCCTTGGATATTTAAATTTATCTCGACCATGGAATGTCATTGATTTTAATTCAGTTTTTTTTTTTTTATCGTAACTTTAAAACGAAACATGCTATTGGAGTCGGGTTTTCGCCGTTGTGTTTCGCTAAGTAAAATCTTCAATCTAAAATGTATTTTTGGGTTATAAAATAATTTTGAATATTTTAAAATACAGGGTGGTCATAAATCATTGTACACATTTTAAGATGAAATAAATAAAAAACCAAGCAACATAGAAACATGGAAATTGGTTCATTAAATAGCAAATTTAAAACAGTTATATACAGTAACTACAAAAAATTAATTATAAAAATGTCAGCAATTATGAAAAGTAGTTATAAAAACACAGTCAAAATCACCTAAACTGTTATTGTAAGTTATGTTCTTTTGAGCTGAGGACCCTTTAGACTATATGTTGGACACTTCCCAGTCGTTCGAACTGACTGTACCACCATTTTATAAAATTTTTACACGGAGAATTACGGCTCTACTCTAAACAAAACCTTCTTCGAACAGTTATTGCAGATTTACTTTCATTAAACCAAAGACTTTGCTTTTTATTTAACCCTAGTAAAATTGTTACTTTTAAGTCAGTTTAAGGTTTGATTCACCAAATATCATACACAGCTGGTGTAGAAAGGTCCATTGTTGGTTTTGTTATGCTAACTATGCCATTCTATCCATGCTGTATATGCCACAACACGAGTCATTGAGGAAAAAACTTACACAAACTGTTTGAGTGATTTTTGCACATTTTTTATAACCACTTTTTATAATTATTGACATTTATGTAATTATTGTTTTGCAGTTACTGTATAAAACTATTTTAAATTTTCCATTCAATAAAATAAATCCCAAGTTTCTAAGTTGCTTGGTTATTGGTTTATGTAATTTTAAAATGTGTCCAATAATTTATGACCACCCTGTATAATAAAAATACTTATTTATCTAGTTTAAGTGAAGCTGGAAATGATATTAGAATCAAATCAGCTGTTACGAAGGAATCAAGTGTACCAACCACTATTAGAGAACACAGGGGTACCAAACAACCGTTATAGTAAGAAACAATGTTACCAACCCTTATTACAGAATAGGAAACATGGGTACCAACGTGATAGGAAGCCTTTAAGTGAGGATCACCCAACCCGGACAAATGCTTTAACACAATTTGTTGGTGTTATTTTTACCCTTGTGTTACACCTTCTGTAGCTTTTTTCCATTTTATAACTTTTATAGATAACCATGTTAAATTATTGTTAAAATTTGAGAACCCCTAAGGGTAAGACGGAAGATACGTGTGAAGATATTTTATTGTGTGTAAAAATAGAATATAAAAAATACAATTTTCGTTCCCTAGAATTTTTGTACAACAAAGTATTTTTCAACGAACGATAGGAAAAACATAATTTCAAATCAGTTAAGGAACTTAGCTAATGTGTCTATTGTTGTTCAACCAGCATAAAGAACTATTTTAACAAAGTTTAACAATATATTGTAAATTACTGGTTGTCCACAGAAATTATTTTGAAAAAATCAAATCAATAATTAACAATTAAGTCATCATTAGAACTCTCCCAAATATAAAAAAACAAAGTTAAACTGCCTCCATTTTATAAGTCTAAACTACAAAATTAATGGTTTTATCAATTGTGCCAAATCCATGTACAACAGCGAGCCTTCAATATAGTAGGAAGCAATCCACATACATGCATGTGTCACATAGATAGATACTGAAGGAGAGAGTTTATTTCAATTGCCATAACATTGTAATTAAACCCAAAAATAGTTTATCAGTTTTTTTACATTTGATACTACTTATCAATATATTTTTGTTTATTTGCAAATTAAATTGTATGCTTCAGAACTAGCTTTTGAGAGCTAGAAAGTTTGTGTTTTCTTTTTGTTGTCATGGACATAAATAAATAATCAGCGATTTTTAACCACGAGGTAAATATCCAAAAACAAATATAAACACTCCACTTTTCTTATTGTTTCTACAAAACGAATCAAATTAATACGTTATTCTGACTAACAAGGTAGCTTTTACAGCCTAAGAAAATGGGCCTTAAAGATTTTAAAATCAAGAGTTATACATTTAGACCTTTTCAGAAACAGTTTTACTAAGCTTCAATTTAATCGGATGGACGGTTTGGTATTCAGAAAGGACATACATGCCTACTAAGTATTTAAAAATAAATTACAACAATGGTGAATATAATCTGAATTGACTTCTAGTACCTTCACATTTATTCCAAATATAATCATTTGAATATCCTTCTGTTTCAAGATTACACAAGCTGATTTAAATACGATTTACTAAATAGGAGTAAAACAATTGAACGATTGGCGTAAAAATAAAAACTTAATGCTGTACATTTTTCGAAAATTACATTTTTAACATCCATCACACTTAGCAAGAAAAAACAAACATAAACTGTCATGATTTTAAAGCTGGTTACATGCTGAACACGGTTACAGTGCTTGCATAGCTACCAAAAGTTCACCGGTTCGATCCAGAGAAAAGTCAAAAACTATTTATGGTTAGCAGCTGGTCCCGGATGTCTTCAATCATTAGACTTTTATCATACGATGCTGACCAAATAAACAGCTGATCTTAGTCAGTAACAAAACTTCACAAGGAAGCTATCCTAATTGATAATCAGCTGTTTATAAAACACCTGTTTCTTCGAATGGTTCTCGCATTAAATCAGTCCCATGGTTTCGCAAAACACAAGATCTATTTATAGAACTCGTAATTTTCTAAACTTGTAATCATCGTCTCACACGTCTGCCTCAGGCAATCCTTGGGTGTAATATGTAATTTGCAAAACACAGAGCAAGAACTCAAGGAGACATAGATTATTACTCTGTGGCGAGTCTTTGATTTTACATCTGTAATTGTTTGGGAGATCATATTATGTGGATTGTATTTGAAAAGTAAATAACATAAATGTCTTATTACACTTGAAACATATATTTACGCTTGTTACTCACAGGACGGTAAATATACAAAAAAGATTGTAAGTGGTGATCGATTTCGATTGGACACTCCAATCATCATCAGACCCAATAGGCGAATGAGTATCGCAAAATAAACGTATTTAACTTTTTTTGAAGATAATAAGGAAGACGAAACTTTTTGAAATCCGTAAGCCGCACACTTAACAACCATACTTAAATATGCCTAACTGAATTGGTCGGTATTTATTTATTTTAATTTTTGACGTGTTGCCTTCCAGATTACTTAACAACTATTCTAGAGGTTAAATACCTTGTTGCCAACGTGATCTTTGGTAGCCCGAATGGCCAGGTCTACTGTAGACGTGTAGTTAGTTGTCACCCCTAGGATGTCGTCAAAAAGTATTCAAAACACTGACAAGATACAAACATAAACAAAAATGTTACGAAGAAATCATACTGTACTGTATGATCAAATAAGATCACGATGGCATATTTTACACATTTTATCACACAGCTGATGCAAATGCTCAAACCAAAGAGATCTTCATTCAAATAAGCAATGAGCACCTACCACGAATATTTGAACTGAAAGCTGTATGGATCATGAACATAAACAAATGAAGTGGCTGGCCCGAATCCTATACTAATATCATTAAAATATGGTTTAAACAGTTCCGTTTAAGCAATGCTAAATAATGTTCACTTTCGGGCCAGTAACATAATCTGTTTATGTTCATGATCCATACCTTGTCTGTTCTAGTATTCGGTGGTAACTACTCGTTTGGATTAGGTCTAGGATGTGATCATTTTTTGACGATCTCGTGATTCTTTTACCGTTGACCGTTGACAGTTTTTTAAACCATACAAATAACATGACTAATCAGTTACACATTTTTTATCTACTTTCGATTACATCGTTGTACTGTCAGCATTTGTGCACCTTGTTGTAGGGACAGACACTGGATATTTTAATACCAATATCAGTGTTTTGTTGATATTTAGACTGATATTGAGTTATTTCTGTTACAGCAGGCTCCTAGGAGCCGGGAGACTGTCTTCACCGCAGCAGACCAACTTGTGCTATGGCTGTGAGTGATATTTAGACTGATATTGAGTGATATTTCTGTTACAGCAGGCTCCTAGGAGCCGGGAGACTGTCTTCACCGCAGCTGACCAACTTGTGCTATGGCTGTGAGTGATATTTAGGCTGATATTGAGTGATATTTCTGTTACAGCAGGCTCCTAGGAGCCGGGAGACTGTCTTCACCGCAGCAGACCAACTTGTGCTATGGCTGTGAGTGATATTTAGACTGATATTGAGTGATATTTCTGTTACAGCAGGCTCCTAGGAGCCGGGAGACTGTCTTCACCGCAGCAGACCAACTTGTGCTATGGCTGTGAGTGATATTTAGACTGATATTGAGTGATATTTCTGTTACAGCAGGCTCCTAGGAGCCGGGAGACTGTCTTCACCGCAGCTGACCAACTTGTGCTATGGCTGTGAGTGATATTTAGACTGATATTGAGTGATATTTCTGTTACAGCAGGCTCCTAGGAGCCGGGAGACTGTCTTCACCGCAGCAGACCAACTTGTGCTATGGCTGTGAGTGATATTTAGACTGATATTGAGTGATATTTCTGTTACAGCAGGCTCCTAGGAGCCGGGAGACTGTCTTCACCGCAGCTGACCAACTTGTGCTATGGCTGTGAGTGATATTTAGACTGATATTGAGTGATATTTCTGTTACAGCAGGCTCCTAGGAGCCGGGAGACTGTCTTCACCGCAGCAGACCAACTTGTGCTATGGCTGTGAGTGATATTTAGACTGATATTGAGTGATATTTCTGTTACAGCAGGCTCCTAGGAGCCGGGAGACTGTCTTCACCGCAGCTGACCAACTTGTGCTATGGCTAACGAGAAGAAAGATTTGGACGGAGTAAGTAACATAACTAGCAACCGAGCCACCATTCTTAACACACACTATAGCCTCCTGCCATACAAGGCCGCGGCGAGACAAGTGGCAACGTTGCAGTCCAGGCCTACCGAAACAGCTGGCGCATTCTTATTGAAGCGTCTGCGCAGTGTTTATACGTTTGTTATTACTGTTACCATGGCAACAGGCTGGTGCGACGTTGCCACACACCAACACCGCGGCCTTGCAATAGAAGAGACTATGTTACTTTATCCAATAATAAAGGAACGTTTTATAAGGTTCGAGTATGTTTCAATGTGGGAAGATCGACATGATAAACTCACAATGTGATTTATGAGTGTTGTGTGAAGATTGTCCAAAAGAATATATTTACCTTCAAATTATTTGCTGGTTCAAATGACAGGCCTTTGTTTGAATTTGGTGCGTGAAAGTAGAAAAGTATTTATAATCAAGCTGCTCACCACAAATGAAATTTAGAAGGCTGTAAAACCCTCATTGGCCTTCACAAAGGCAATGCAGATCATAAGTCAAAATTGTAACAAATTGATTTGAAGAAATTCTTAATGGTTAGTATTCTAAAATACTAAAACGAGTATAGGAGTTTTGCCAACGGGTATCAGGTAGAAATGGTCCCCATCCATGAATTCCACATACTGCGGAGTTTTGCCAACGGTTGTGGGTTGAGCGAGAGCGATTACACGTGACCGTGAGAGTGGCTTCCGCTAGGGGTGGACAAACCAGGCAGGATGCTGACTGTATTCAAAGTAATGGAGTTATGCACCTCTGACTGTGAAAGGAAATGTATTGAATTTTTAACCTAACCTAACCTAACCTAACCTAACCTAACCTAACCTAACCTAACCCACTGCGACAAGCGCATAACTGCCAAGCGTAGACAACCCTGACAATCGCTCTCCCTTCCTCCGTCACACTCTTTCTCCCACCACCACCGTTGGCAAATCTCCGCACCAAGAGGTGGCCGAAGGCATCCCCCCCATCTACCTGACACCCGTTGGCAAAACTCCGGTTCCCTACTAAAACGAAATTTTCTGTTTTAAATATAGGCCGATATAAAAATAAACGCCTTTTTCAATCTATTTTGGTATTAGTAACATTATCTGAAAAATTTTAATTGAAATTTGTAAGAAAATAAAAAATAAGAACATTTTTTAAATTAAAAATGTTTAAAACCACTTTGAACAATCCACACACTCTTTTAAAATGCCATTTGAATTGGTAATGTCCTTAAATTTCAATTGATTGTCCGTATGAGCTACAGAACTGTAATTGTAGCCTATGAAACTTTACTGGTTTTAAAATCGGAAATGATACAGAAAATGTTTTTCCATATTAAAATAATCTCCCAATGTTTTAGGGAACGTTCACTGACTGAAAAATATGCATTGGATAAAAATAATGTTTTAAAAAGTTGACACTTGCTATGAGGCGATCCAGAAAATTGCAGATAATAGTTTTGGCAACATGGAGCCAATGTAAATCTTCCTTGACGATCGTCATAAGAAGATAGAAACTATACAGGGTGAGTTTTAAATGAGTTCCCCCCCTACTTTTTTCTACATTTCTTAAGATATTAACTCCGGACCACGTCAGATCATTGTAGAGTAGTAAGTACTTCATTTTGACTGGGTATAAATTTTTGGCCGCCATCTTGGACCCGCCATATTGGATACAAAGTTTTTTTTCAAATGTAAAGGTAAGGCTGTGACCCATTGTTTTAAACTAGATTTTTATGCTGAATACGATGCTGCAATTCGTTTTTAAAAATCTTGATCCATTCTAAAGTTATGAGAACTTTTTATAACATTATTTTAGCCCATTTTAACATTGTGCATTTAGAAACTAAGAACATAATCCCAAAATAGTGCTAGATAAAGATAAGTATACACCACATAATATACATAAATCTTTATCTAGCACTATTTTAGGGTTATGTTCTTAGTTTAGTTTCTAAATGCACAATGTTAAAATGGGCAAAAAATAATGATATAAAAAGTTCTCATAACTTTAGACTGGATCAAGATTTTTAAAAACGAATTGCAGAATCGTATTCAGCATAAAAATCTAGTTTAAAACAATGGGTCACAGCCCTACCTTTACTTTTGAAAAAAAAACTTTGTATCCAATATGGCGGATCCAAGATGGCGGCCAAAAATTTATACCCAGTCAAAATGAAGTACTTACTACTTTACAATGATCTGACGTGGTCCGGAGTTGATATCTTAAGAAATGTAGAAAAAAGTAGGGGGGGGGAACTCATTTAAAACTCACCCTGTATAACGGTCTATCTACTTATGCTAGCAAGCTGATGATTATTCTATATACGAGCTGAAACCATGTATAATCTTCTATTTTAAATATTGCGTAGTAGTATTTGCCTAGCAGGTATTAACAATGTTTATATTGTTTGGCAATGAAGATAATGTTTGTGCATTGTGTTGTGCTTATTTTGTTATACATTTCATATAGTATAACATTATTCTTTGTCAGGTGGGAGTGCAGATAGAGGGCCCGGGCATGTCGGGTTCATTCAAGAGAACCGTGGAGATGCCCCAGTTGCCCAAATCTCTGTCGTTGGAGGAGAAGAAATACCTTCTGGCCGTCGAGAGAGGTGATGCCGCCAACGTCAGGAGGTAAAATATCTTAAAATACAGTAATCTTACTTGAATACAGTTGAATACAATCATGGTCTCTAATACACGACCGTTGAATGCAAAGAGAAAAGTGGCAACGCCGCATAGCAGTCCCGGCCTACTGAAACAGCTGTTGTAGGCCTACTAGTTCATAATGGAGCGTGTGCGCAATGTTTATGTTTACACGTTTGTTATTACTGTTACCATGGCAACAGGCTGGTGCGACGTTGCCACATACCCACTACGCGGCCTTCTATTACATAATGCTATGATACAATTCGTAAATATTCATTAACTCATTCTTGCAGTTTGAATTTAAATAACCATATTTAGGCAGTTTTCTTTCAAAAACATTTTCATCATACTGTCTGAAAATCAGGAATTTTTAGTTGCTCTAAATTGTCAGCAAAATCATCGTATTCGGGCAGGGAACAGAACAAACAAATGGTAAATTTTTCGGTTCCCTAACATCAAAACATTATCAGTGCGTTATGGAAACGTTGATAATTTAAGTTATTTTTTTAAACAACAGAAATGTAAACATTGATGACGACTTTGTAAAACTTTATTTTTACTAATTATGAAACGATTAGAAGGTTATTTCCGCAGTATGGTGAAAATAGTTGTTCATCACACGGAGCGAAAGTGTCTTTTTGGTACTTAATCGTATTTCCAAGCTAGGCATTGCGTACCAAAAAGAGCTACTTTTGCTCCTAGTGATGAAAACTACTATTCCGTCATTCTGTCAAAAACTTTACTGGAATATCGAATTCACCTTATCACCCACCTTAAGTCCCACTGACTCCATTAAACATTAAAATTAACGAAAATCTATAGATTATAATCTTTTTCAAACAAAAGTCTAAAGGATTCACAATTCACAGGATGCTCCAGCGCGCCCACCATCGTCACCACATCGACATCAACTGCGCCGACTCACTGGGCCGTTCTGCGCTGATCCTGGCCATCGAAGGAGAGAATCTGGAGATGGTGGAGTTGCTGGTGGTCCTGGGAGTTGACACCAAGGACGCTCTGCTCCACGCGATCAACTCGGAGTTCGTGGAGGCGGTGGAGTTGCTTCTGGAACACGAGGAGATCGTACATAAGGAGGGGAACCCTTACGTGAGTTGAAGAGTTTTTAGCCCTAAAAAGGCTCTGGTTGGGGATCGTTTTTCACACTACTTCAGGCATTATCATACTCCCATAGTAGGTTTGCCATCCTTATGACATAGACTAACCAACAACACAAGTAGACTTTTCATCCCATTGTAAATTTTGAAGCTCGTTTTTCATGCCTAGTTCATTTCCGGTGACACTGATCGCTAGTGTCGACGAAATTTTGTTTCTATGCTTTACTGTTTGGTTGTATAACTAAGGGGACGAGTTATTGATTATGATTAGATTGTTTTATTTGGTTAAACGAGGTTTTTAATGACTGAAATTACAAGAAACAAATTGTAAACAAAACACGACATCTACAGTACACCGGACAGAACTAACAATAAAATTGGCTTCAGCTGTTCCATAAGGATTAGAAATCTACTAAGGGGATATGATTTATCTATAGTGAAACCGTCTAGGACCCTGTTGTCTTTTTTAATGTCTACGCCAGTAAAATTACGTATCAAACAATTTCAAAAACTGCAGGAAAGCAGTGAAAATCTATAAAATGTTTTTGATAGCTCTCGATCAAACCCTAAGATCCTAATGGGATTTATTTATAAAATAATCTCAAAAGTTTGTTTGAAAAGCTATCCAAACCGATCTTTGTGAATGCTGGGGATTGAACTAGTCTCCCTTAGTCCCAAACACTATCTAGGGTAGCAAGACAACCTACATGTTACAGCTTGATTTTAAGACACACATTCAATAACTTTCAAAGTAACGGTTTGCACAACTTTAAGGTTACACAATATATACCATGATTTATAACTTTATATATAATAATTTAATCTTCACACAGTATCTATGATTATCAACTTCAACTTTTACGTCATCATGTTTTAAAGACTTAATGGATTCATAAAACAAAGGTTAAGACTTCAAAATATCCATTTTCATGACTTTACTGTTTATAATTTTAATTTTCCACAACTTATATGCTGTGCAACTTCAATAATAGTCTACAACACTCCTATATTTTATAACTGTGAGCTTAAAAGGTACACTTCAAGGTTTTATGGTTTCAAGGTTAGCAACGCTAAAGGTTTCGAAGCCAATAATAAGGATTTTCATAAAGATTTAAAATTACATGAAAATTCCTCTTTATTTAGATGAACTTTGGACCTCGTGGTCCTTTCTTACAGTATGTTAACTTTAATAATTCTTTATTAAGGGTTTTCACTAAGACGATTCGTAATTCCTGTAACTTTTACAAATTTAATCGACCCATAAGGTTCAACACTATCATGCAAATCACTGCAATCAAAACACGATCACCGCTCGTTAGTTTCTCATGACAGTCATTCGGTGATCATCGTCAATACATTCTGCCTACATCCTGCGAAAAAATAATTTATTAAGTACTAAATTTACTTAGTAAACTCAGGCTATATACAATTTTATGATACTAGTAGTTTACGTAAAAATCTTTGATAGTAAGTTGCAACGGATTTCAATTTTTGTGAGAAGTATCCCTTTTATTTTATGAGAGTTTTATCGTTATTTAAGTAGCATATTTTATGGAATATCTTTTGTTGAGATGTGATAATCTTACTATCTTCTATCTTCTTAAAATGCCATAAAACCCTTGGTAGTGACGGCTTCTGAAACGCCTATAAACTGACGTAGACATAAAGCTATTTTATCTGCTATTGCTTTCAAAAAACTATCATTTATTTCACACGTACACATTACATGCAATTATTAATCGGATAAAACTAACTTTAACCTTGCTACAACAGTAATGTAATAATTTAAGAACAAACAGCTGATCTATTATTGTAAAAATGTGTGTTAGGATATGTCATAGATAACCAAAAATGATCGATAATAGAAATTGAGGTTGAGTTTATGGTTGCTAGGCAACGACAACAATGCACGTAATGAAGTTATAACAAAATGTTGTTGAAAACTATTGAATAGAACGTGCATGAACAGTACATGTTTCAACAAAATCAAATAACAGCTGATCTTATGAATCGGGAGTATTGATTATTAATCCAATAAAACAGTTGATTGCATGGCACTTTATATTCGAATAAAGTATTCTGTGGTTATTGTTGAAAAGAGCAACCCTAGTGATTAAATGTTTTATCTAAGCATGGATTAGTGATGTACCAAACCATATTGTTTTACATAGTTGATGCTTTAAAATCATTAAAATTTAATTGTTTGCACTACCGTATGGGATAAGATCGGTATCTTTTAAACTGTATTATTACATTTTATAATTTACAACACGTATATTCAGTAAATTTAATGGTATGTAATAAATCCTATCATAGTGGGTTTGTTGTATACAATGTTGGGTATATACATTTTAGTATTATTATTTCTAAAATTTTGCCAATATGCTAACCAAGTTATATACCTCTACAACAGCAAATTATTTTATTCGACTGACCTTTTCCACTAAAGTTAATCCAAACGTATTATTATTGATGGGCTTGTTAAGCCGTTGACCTAATTATATGCTTAAATACCTACTAATAATTAATGTATTAATTAATTGCAATCTGAATCAGGATAATCCCGCCAAATATTGTTAATATTCATGGATTAAACACTTGCCCAGCATATCAATAATTTACTGATATTAAGCAAATTTGAATTGTTTATCTCATTTCGTTTCATATTTATTATTGTCCTTTTGTAAATAATAGAACACCTTTTACAATTATGTTACTCCACAATATTGCTGAATAACCGATTCCTCATTATGTTTTGAGATGATTCATTATTCTTTTTAGTTGTTTTACAGCAAGGTGGGTTTCGTGAAATTATTTAGGTCAAAAAGCCAAAAAACTATGGACATTGAATCTTCTTTTATACTTAATACAATAATAGTTTTTTCTGACATTTCCAGAGCTGGGAGAAGGTTGACTGGAACACAGCCACGTTTACACCAGACATCACTCCGCTGATTTTGGCAGCTCATAAGAACAACTACGAGATCATCAAAATCCTCCTGGACCGAGGAGCGACCCTGCCTATGCCCCACGATGTCAGGTAAAATGTGGATCTTTTGTGTTGAAAGAACAACGTCAACTCTTTGTAATCTAACCGAATAAGTAAACAGATTTGCAGAAACGTCAATCGAAAATGCAACCGTTTATGAAAGAATGTTCACAACTAATATTTCCAGGGGTACACCTTCCCTGGTGCGAAAAGGAGACTTGAGTTATCTCTTTATAAAATTGGGATTAGGAAATAAAGATCAGGGAAAGGTATTAGAACTTGCTTCTGACCATGAAGCATCGTCCACATCAGTGCTAACCCGATTTAACAATAAGGTAATTCTAGGAAATTACCGTCTGTGTTTCATAAAATGTTTGTTAACGAATTGTTTCTAAAAATTAACCTGAACAAAATCGAAATTATGACCTACGTGCCATTATCCAATAGTCAATTCTACATGGTTTTGGGTGGGGATGTTTCCTTTATCAGTGGGCAGGCAGTTTCACAAAGAATCTTACCGAATCTGGTAAAATTAATATACTGATCACCTACAGAAGATTCTGTCACATCCAAAGCTGAAGAGGTACTATGTCCTAGAGTAGTGTAGATGGTCTCGTCACCTACTAAAGTGTTATGACCATGTTACGACAACATTTTGAGGCATTGAAGAATCACGTGATAAATATATTCTACTTGGAGTAACTTAAAAGGCCTTTCTACCGTCATCATTGTATCATCTCAAAATCATGGATAGTTTTTTTCCAAACCAACAAACATTTTGTTTTTCCAGATGCGGGTGCGAGAAGTGTATCCGAGAGTCTGAAGAAGACCCTCTTCGCTTTTCCCTCTCGAGAGTCAACGAGTACCGCGCTCTCGCAAGTCCTTCTCTCATCGCTCTCTCCAGCAACGATCCTATCCTGACCGCCTTCCAACTCTCCTGGGAGCTGCGCAGTCTTGCATTCGCTGAACAGGAGTGCAAACTCCAGTACATGGTATGCGATGGTTTAGCTCAGTGGATACTGTATTGAAATGATCGTTGCAAAGTTGACGAGGAGGAGGTTGTGACGAAATAATGGACCATGAGTTTTATTGTCGATGGAAGTCTTCATGGTACATACTGTTTTTCCTTAGTGGGAAATCGACGTAGGTAATCGACTGGCATCCTAAATGGTACTTGGCGTTCCCAACACACTGCCTCTATACATCTCTGCATCTTGCGTCCTCCTTCCTTCGTCCCAGTTTTCTTATGTTTTTTTTCTATTTGGTCCCACCATCTCAGTTTCGGTCTACCAAGGGGAAATGTTCTTTTTGGGTTGTTCTCCAGTACTTTCTTTGGCAAAGAGTTGTCTTCTTTTCTTATGATATATCCTGCCCATCTCATCCGATATTGAAATTATTCTTTCAAATTTGACGAGGAGTTGGTTTTGAAATAATTTACCATGAGTTCTTGATGAAACACCCGGTAAATTGTACAAATTGGGTTTGTTGGTGAAACTTTAAATGATCTAAAATTATCCTTGCAAAGTTTGTCTCGAAATAATATACCAAGAGTTCGTGATGGCTTTAAAATCAAAGTTTAAGCAACTATAAGGTGAACATATTTTCGGAAAATCTTCCTGAATAGGCTTTCATGCCCACTTAACGGAGAATTAGACTTTTGATGAACACCAACTCCATCACCATTACTAGAATATCATCGAGTAGAATAGAAAATACTGGTGAAGAATTTCGTCGTCTCCAGAACACTGGTCGTCACCAGAGTACTACTGTACTACTCTTCCTCTTTTAACATAAATTTGTAAAATTAATACATTAGTAGCTTTACTACTAAGACTATTTTGGGCCCCAATGTAATAGTGTTTGATATTGAACTTGAGTCACTCACTTTTTATAGGACCATCGACCTTGAGTGGTGAGCAGTTGTTGCTATATTAGTTTGTTGAGTCATCACCCAAACGTTATTCACTTTGGAATTTCCGGACGACATTCTTAGCTTCTTTACTCTTTGTAGTTGTTTATGACTGTGGTCCGTTTCACTATCAATGTTTAAAATAGGCATGACAATTCACTCTCATCATCAGTGACGAATAGTTCAATATTGTATTGCATTTGGAAAAAATGTTGGAAATATTTTTTTTCTGAGTCAAACTGACTTAATATTTCCAAATGATGACAACAGAGAGATGACAATTTAGGGAGGAGTTGTCCTTTATAGAATAGGGAAACAGACTTGGTTAGGATTCCTAAATCAGCTCCCGATTGAAGATACTCTTACAAAACCACCTTTGAAAACCTGGCAATTTTACGAACCCTTGCGATAACAGTTTTTTAATAGTCAGGCATACTACTTGCTTTGGTGATCGTCAAAATTGAAATAACTTACCATAGCTGAGTAACTGATAAAGTGCTTGCTTGGTTATCAGTTTAATTGTGAACAACGTAAATCATGTTATGGCTCAACTAGACTCAGCTGTCCTTCAACATTGGGCTTGTGATAAAAGATCTTTACCAAAGAACCTAGATTATCTAGTAACACATCTGTCATCTCATTCATTTAACATAGTTAAATCATATTCGTCTGAAAATAGGCACCTCATTATCTATTTCCTCCAACCTCTCCTCTTTAATCTTATCCGTCATCCTCGGGAATACAATGTGAAAGTTCATCAACATCCAACAACTATCTTTGCAGGAACTTCGACGTCAAGTTCAGCAGTTCGCTGTAGATCTGCTCCACCAGTCTCGCAGTTCGCAGGAGCTCGCTGTCATCCTCAACCACGATCCTGAGAGTCCTCCCTACGAGGATGGAGATCACATGAAGCTGGCGAGGCTCGAACTGGCCATCAACTACAAGCAGAAGAAGGTGAGGATGTCTGTAATCAAACAGCTGTAAAAGATGACATGGTTCTTCCAAATGAAGCTATCGAGCTATCTCAAATTAGTGTAAAGGTTAATTGACGGTGTTGGATCATCTTTCGCATGATAGCTCTTCTAAATAATGGATTTACTAGTTTAAGAAATGCTGAAGTGTTTGTATAACTTACCTATAATCTTGCTTGGTTTGATTCCCTTTGCTAACATCATTCTGTGGCAACTCGAGACAAGGAGTGGATAGGCTCTATTTGTAAATGTGTATGAGAGAAAATACCACGAGAAAAGGTGTTTATCTATTAGGGCATTTCGTATTTAAGCGTAATCAGGACGGATCTTCAGAAAAGTAACCGATGAAAATACATTGGTACACGTCGTCTAAGTTATGTATTGACTAACTAAAGAACTATCTAACTCTATGGGAGCAGTTCAAATTAAAAGTTTGTAGAGGAATAAGGATTCAAGATTTGGAAGGGAAAATACACTGATTACTATTGGAACGATTTCATGAATAAATATCTTAATGAATAATCTTCATCGAGATAAGCTTATTATTCAAACCCTCCTTTGGTAAAACGTTCAACTTCATTATTTGTCATTCACCACTGTGAATAATTTTACCTAAAGGATCCGGTTTATTCATTTTGCTCTTATAAAACACCTGAAAAGTTATAAGTAATAAGAGATGCCAATTAATAGCTAAAACATTCATCAATATCTCACTTTCATTTTCAGTCTTCGTTTTTGTAATTTCAATGAACCAATAAGACAATTTCAAGGTTTATTTTTGTGAAAATAAAATTACATACTCCATTATTGACCTCGCCTTTTCTTCACCTTCCAGTTCGTTGCCCACCCCAACATCCAGCAGCTCCTGGCCGCCCTCTGGTACGACGGTCTGCCCGGGTTCCGCAGAATGCCTCTGGTGAAGAAACTCTACGAGATCTGCCAAGTGGCGCTCCTCTTCCCCTTCTATTGCACCCTGTACATGATCGCTCCCAACACTGAGAAGGGGAAACTCATGAGAAAACCTTTCATGAAGTTTCTCATCCACGCCTCTTCCTATTTGTTCTTTTTGTGTAAGTGTTTTAAAGATTGTTAAAAGAAATTTACTAAAATTCAATAAAATCTCTTGAATCGTGAGACAATTTTGGGGAAGAGAACAATTAATTGTTTACTAGGATGAGCAGTTTGACCTCTTATCAGCTTCATAATATTTTATAAACGCTTTAAAAAAATATTGTAGTTATTGCAAGATTATGAAGAGACATCCATCAAAGAGGAGTTCTTAATTATGTTCACCTAAGAGGTCATTGTTTCTTATATTTAGGTTTGTCCTAAAGACATTTTTGCAAATCTTTTTTGTTACAAACCAAACTTGTAGGCTAGTTGATTTTGATTATTGAGCTTGGCCTAAATTCTTTTTGTTATTGGCCTAAGGACGAGAGTCCAGTGTTACTCCCTTCTGGACTAACAGCGTCTTTGATAGAAACGGCATAAAAGTAACCATATATTTTACCATTGATAACAATAATTTTGTAAATAAATCAAGATCATAAACCCACTAGAAAGTGATTTTGTCTTTGAATGTCAGCTTATCAAATTTTCTACATGAGTGAGAATTTTTTTTTTTTTTACTTACCGCTCAAAATGTCTCAAAACGTACTAAAATCTTTGGACACAAAGTACTATAATAAAATTGACATATTTTTTTCTTCCAACAGTGATCCTGATCCTGGTATCCCAACGGGCCGAAGTTCTCGTCATCCAAATCTTAGGCACGGACGCTATGAAACAACAACTGCAAGAGGAGTTGATGCGGCAACGAGGCAACGGACCATCCTTGCTGGAGGGGATCGTATTCGTCTATGTGTTAGGTACAAGCATGTATAAAAAGGGCTGCTAACACACATTTTGAATAGGACATTTGTGTCTTTTCCTTAGAAAATTCAAGGGCCCATGAGCCTACTGGTATTTGTAGAAGTCTTAAGAAAGTGAAAGTTCTATTGCGGTCTGGCATGAGTCAGTGATGTCTGCAATGAAAGAAATTGTACAGATTGTCGTTTTGAACAAACAATGTCTAACTCATCAGCTAAGGAGGCTATAGTCTGTATGATGGAACATTTCTCCTGACCATCCGTCTATCTGGGGACCAATGGTTTAAGGTCTAGTTCAAGGTAGATGGGAGGGTCAGGAGACAGGTCGCAACATACAGACTGTAACAATGAACTACCATGTTCGGCAACTGTTGGGGACTTGTTGGAAACAAATCCCATTAAGGCTTTTTCAAGAAGCCAGTATTTTAAAAGTCAAGGCTCAATTATTTCGCAATTAGCTTAGTTACGTTAGATTAGCTTATGATAATTCAAACATGTTAAGAGTTGCAACATCTAAAGTTGTGTCTTCTTCTTGAGTAGTTTGTTGATGTGACAAATGAATACAAAGTTGGCATGTCAATTTGGATTAATGTCCTCTTCTCAATGCGTAAAAAAAGGAAATCTTCGAAATGTTACTTTGTGATTATCATAAACTAAAATGAACCAACCTAACCTAATCCAATCAGATCATCTCAGTGCAATTTAAAAGAGCGTTGGCCCTTTTTAAAAAAAAAAAAGACCCGCCTTTTTTCTGTGAAACAGACATTTCTTTTATCAAGACTTAAATGCTACTTAAGAAATTCCTGATGCTATGCCCATTGGCTGACGTAATCGAGACGAATCTTGATTTTAGGTAATTGATTAATACCTGGTAGCCTACTAACATTGCAAATTTGAGAAGAGCTGTTTTGGGGAAATATTCCAAATACAGCTTTCCAATTTCAGTCCCACCCTAGAGTATTGCTCAAGTAGTTTTAACACCTTTCATTACTTTACAAACCACCATTCAAGAATTTATCAAGGGATTTCTTAAATGAATAATCTCAACCAGGTTTCATATGGGAGGAGACGATGGAGATCTACCTCGAAGGCATCCAGGAGTACCTCAGGAACATGTGGAACTTCATAGACTTCAGCCGCAACTCCCTATACGTCGCCGTGTTCATGCTGCGCGCGGCCGCCTACTATCAACAGAGCATTGAAATCTCTGAAGATCCCGCCACGGCGTACATTCCGCGGGAACAGTGGGACGCTTTTGACCCACAGCTGATCGCTGAAGGACTTTTCGCTGCAGCTAACGTCCTCAGGTAAAGACACCTGAGGGGAATGTAATGAAGCCTTGCAAATGGTTTCCAATGTATCTTTTGGAAAGGATAATCCTGTACCTTCTTATGAAGAGTATTTTCAGTTCTCAACTAGCTGACTCATTCTTGAAAAGGTTTCATGATCAAATTGCCTCACTTAACGTGTTTCCAGGTTCTTCATATTATGAAAACTATCACAAGTATCTCACTTTTCCGAGAATTGCAATTTTTAAAGGGCTTCTTAGTATCTCTGGAAGGTTTCCTTCAGAAAACAGGCGTTTTATTTACTAAATTAATCTAGGACTCTCCCATAAAATCGTTCATAGTTTTTTTTTGGACACCGAAGAAATTTCAAAATACTCTTAAGAGCTTCTTTCGGAATTGAAAAGGGTAATAAAACCAGTTAGACATTTGCCATAAGCATACTTTTGTAAATGTATCTTTGTCGAATAAGACTGTTAATAAACTACAGCGCCCTGAAGTTGGTCAACCTGTTTTGCACAAAATTTCGTTTTACAACTCTTCTGATCCCTCTTCTTTAAATGAATCTGATTTATTATTAAACGGCAGTTTCCTGAAGTTGTAATTCATTATTTTTATCAACTTTTGTCTTAAACCTTTATAAATTATGAAGACGCTTGTTTACATATTTTTTCAACCATCATTCAAAATTCTCCGGGCTAAATTCATTATAGTCAATTATAAATTGCAAGGCCCTGAAGTTAGTTCACTTCCATCCTTTACCATTAGAGTATAAGTTTTATAACTTACAGCGTCCTGAAGCTGGTCAATGTCCATTGACCCTCATCTTAGATTTTTTGGCCCTCTTTTCGCTGAATAAACCATAATAATTTATTGCTTACAGTGCCCTGAAGTTGGTCCACATGTTTTCGATAAACCCTCATCTTGGACCTCTCCAGATCTCTCTTGGCCGGATGGTCATCGACATCGTCAAGTTCTTCTTCATCTACTCTTTGGTGCTTTTCGCCTTTGCTTGTGGTAAGTAATTATTTAAATAAGAACTAGTTCAAAAGAAGATAAATTAGGATTTTTACTAAAACTAAGGATTTAATTTTGCTAAAAAAAAATACTCTTTTGTACATTTTGACCTTCAATAGAGAGAATTATGATTTAAAATCATGTTTTGAATTTGTTAAAGGTCTAATTATGAAAATATTAAGTACAATTTAGATATCATACCGAAAATTGGGCTTGGATATACTCTGCCTAGATTGTAGTTACAAATATTTATAGATGTATTCTGCATTGAAATCAGGATAACAAATCAGCCTATAATTCTTTTTCCTTCACGTTTTTCCTACAAATAATCCTAGATGGATTCTGCCTGGACTAAGGCTTATAATATACACACATTTTACAATCATAGCAAATACTTCCTAAAATTGTATTTTAATATTTAAACGTCCTAAAGAGATATTAATCAATCCATACAGGTAACTTTTGAATGAACAATTAACAAAAAATCATTTGATGAATCTACATGCTATTGAAGGAACAAAAAGTTTACTTAAAACTAATTATTACAAATTATAATTTTTAAATTTGGGTTTTTATGTGTTAATAATAATTCACCGCCTTACTTAAAAACCCAAATACAAAATTATTTCAATCAATTTATTCGTAATTAAACTTCTACATATTCAGATTACACTTATTTTTGGAAACTTAATTTCCCCACAAGCGATAATCAAATTGTTTTAGAGGACTTTGTTCTAAAATACACCCAAAGTGTCAATGCTATTCGATATCAAACCGGCAGTAAACATGCGATAACAAACAAACTTTATCTAGCCTTAAAATACGTTTTAAAGTAAAGTTACGTAACGTCTATTAAATGGAATCAATAAAAAATACATGTGTCACAACTTTATAATTGATGTTTTGACATGTTTTTCCTGGAAATCAGGCCTTAACCCTGTATAAATGTCTGTAAGGTTCGTATTTTGTAACTTATTGTCAACAACTATTGAGCACAGCAGTTTTCTTAATTTTATGTTACAATAGTCTCTTTAAAACGTATTTTGTAAAACACAGTTAAACACTATGTCGTAGGCTAATACCCCCAAAGTATTAGTTTTTAAAAATTAAATCGAGTTTTAATTTTTTTCTAACATTTTTAGGATTATGTCTTCAATAATGTTCGATTGAGTTTATTCAACAATTTTTACGACAAAATATCGGTCCTGTTATTACAAATTCAGATCTAGCGATCTAGCTCTCTAATTCTGTATTGCTTCTTCGTCTAAGTTTTATGACCATCTGGTATTGCTCATAATGGCACTTGTTTACTGTATCACTCATATTCCGAGTTTCTGTTACTACCTTGTTAATAAACCACATCAGGAACGCATTTTTTTCAAAAGAATAACTACCATCAGCCTTAATTAAACCTATTAGTTTTTGGGGGCATAAATGTCTGAGTAGTTTAGTGACTGTAGTGTTGATACTCGAAATTTCGAAATATCATGCAGCTGTCCTTGATCTCTTGATATCAATGGTGTGATCATGGAACAAAACTATCATTTCCTTCAACACTTAAATTATTTGCAATCGCATTTAAACTATTAAACTATGCACCTCAGTGTGTCCAAGTCGTTTATCAATTTAACTTTAAGTTTCTGACATTATTTTTAATGTCGGACAGGTTTGAACCAGCTGCTCTGGTACTTTGCCGAGCTTGAGAGGAGAAAATGCTACTCTCTGCCGGGAGAGATGGCTGACTGGGACAACCACGGTGATTCTTGCACCAAATGGAGGAGTTTTGGGAAGTAAGTAACCCTTCAAAACTTCTGCTTATCTCCCGGTAAACATACAAAATTATTTTCCCTAAAATAAACTACTTAAAGTTAAAGGATAGCACACCAAATCATTCGAGGTTGACAAGACTTAAGTGAGTTAAAGGTTCTAATTAATTGTGTAAGATCTCTCTCTCGTTAACAAATATTTCTCCTACACTTAAGTGAACAAATTTCTTTCTTATGACCTTAATTCCTTCTGCTAAGTGACTGTAAAAAACTAAATTGTGATCATGGACACTTTTGACGTGTCCAAGATGCGGTTTTAGGCCACCAACCAACTTGAAGATCTTGGTTCTGGATTTTCTTAAAGAATCAAAATCCTTCATGATACTCCTTGTTCTTGTCTCTTAACTTTTGCCTTGACTTGTTGGAGCATTTTTAAGTCTTTCCAATCTCTCATTTCAGTTAGGGTCTTAAGCCTCAAAAATATCCATAAATGTTATGTTATTTAAAATTTTTGTATTCAATAAAAAAATATATATATTTTAAATTTCTACAATGTTAAAGTGTTCCTAGTGACTCAATCATCCATAACTACCCATATACTTACAATCCACTCTTCAACTCTATATATTTTGATTAGACATACTTCCAAAAGTTAAAATTCCAATCTTTACCATCTCTACTTTAACGCCTGACTTTTACAGTGTGTTCGAGGCGTCCCAGTCGCTGTTCTGGGCCAGTTTCGGCATGGTCGGTCTCGACTCCTTCGACCTGATGGGTATCAAGACCTACACAAGGTTCTGGGGCCTCCTCATGTTCGGAAGCTACTCTGTCATCAACGTCATCGTCTTGCTGAATCTGCTGATCGCCATGATGTCCAACTCATACGCCTTGATCGAGGTAAAGTGAGAATTATCTCTTTGTTGTTTTGGGTTGTTACACTTTAGGTCTTTTTCTGGTGGACTGAAAAAATGTACTATCTTCTTCTTTGTCTCTATTTTTCTAGTGCATCCATTTTCCAATTTATTGTCTTTTATCCACACCAACGGCAGAACCTGTTCTTATATTGTCATTTTGGTAGGAGATCCATAGTGTTTTTTATCACTATCCTCCCGAAATTCACATATTTAGATGTTTCCAAGATGAATTTTGCGTAGGAGTACTTCCACGAACTGAACTTCATTTTTTCCACTGTCGCGGAATTCTTGTATCGTTTCATGGTGGGGTAATATCTTGTATCGATGTGTAACTGTCTTATGCAAGTACGCAAAGACTACTCTAAACTATTTATTTTAGTTTTGGCACTTTACATAACGTTTTAAGAGTATCCTACGTGATAATATACCTCTCCTTCTTAAGTCTTTTAATCACGAGAAAAGGCTTTTTGACTTTCCCAGACTGTGCAAAGGCTTTATTCAATATATTAGCTAAGCATCAGTAGGGAAACTTTTAAGGCATTTCATCTTCTACCTCATTTACATTCAAACATACAGCTTAAAATACAAAATTGTGTTGGTAGCTCATTGAAATGATAGTGATAATGAAATTTTTAGATAACTATCATTGGCGCCCCTTTTTATCAACTTACCTGATCCAATTAATATTTCATTGTGTACTAAGATTTCCTCTTTTGATATGTTCTCTTCTCTTATGTCCCTTAGCAACACTCTGACACCGAGTGGAAGTTTGCGAGAACCAAGCTTTGGATGAGTTACTTCGAGGAGAGCGCTACATTGCCGCCTCCCTTCAACATCTTCCCAACACCCAAGATGATTCTGAAGCTGCTGGGCATCCGGAAGAAAGACAAACTTAGAAGAATCTGCAGCAAGGTACAGGACAGTTGTAGAATTATCTAGAGATTCCTAAAGATTAGATAAGATCTTCTGCTTGGTAGCTGAGAAGATAGTGCTCAGTTTGAAGTCAGAAGGACGTTTGATCATGAGAAAATTCAAAAGCTATTTGATAGGTTGAAGCTGGTCCCAGCCATCATTGATCGTTGTTTCTTTAGTAAATGTTCCTGACTATACAAACAGCTGATCTTAGTCAGTAACAAAGCTATCAACCCATTCGGTCAAAACATTTCCATTCAACCTCGCTTTTAATTTTAATACTCTGGTAAAATCTATAATCTATCATTAGGCTTCACAAAAATACTATAGTGTTACTACCTTTATGGTTACTAGAACGACCATACAAATATACGATCAACTCAGAAATAGTGTTCATTTAAATAATTTTCGAAGATGTTGTTTAACATTGTTATAATATCTGAAACAAAAGATTCCATTTTCTTTCCTCATATAAAAACGTGAGCCTATGAGAGCTCAATATAACTTAGCTCCTTACCAAACCAAAGTTTCGTCCTGGGTCTCAAACGAAGTCCTAACAATTGTTAATTTTTAGACTTTGTTCTATTATTATAAATTAACATGTAACGGTTCTATTTACTTTTATTTTATATTCCACTATTAATAATAAACTAATATGAAATAAATTAAAATATCAGCACATTGATAACAAATTTTGTAAAAACAAATATTATTGTGGTCATAGACTCGAATAATAATTCACTCATTGTAAAACTTACAAAAGATAACAGTAAAATTTCCTTGTAATTCTTTTAGTATTAACTAAAGGTAGTATTAAATAAGGCCTAACAGCAATTAAATAGTCTTCTGTCAAATGAATGATTAGATTAGCCTAAAAGCTTCTTAGTTGAGTAGTAATGGAGCCTTAAGTGACTCCAAGTTTGGGCCTAAGTATTGATGAAACTAAAGTTTGTTATTATTTAAGCTTACGTTGTAACTACATAACTTTTACGTTAGGGATTTTCGTTTTATGTTTGCACTTTTAAGAATAAAGATATGGAAACCAAAGAGTGAGATTTTGATTTAATGAATGTATTTTTTTCTCTAAATTTTCATGACGTGTTTATGTGTTATGAATAAGTACACAGGGTAAACGGAGTAAATTTATATTAAGCACAGGTTATAAATTACATCTACTCAAACAAATGATTTTCATTTAATATATAAATTAAGATTCGTTGCAAAATCCCTGGAAATGAAATATCAGTTAATTAATTATCATTTTAAAATTTACTCAAACATATTTTAAATTTGATCTCTTTACATTTTCTGCCTCTCAATAAAAATGTCCATTTATCTGTTACATTCTATCATTCAGAACGTCATCTACATGTCTTATAGCATAGCTGGGTTGAGATGGTTATAGTGCACACCTAATTATCAGAACTTTGCCGGTTCGATCCTGAGAAAATTCCGAATCGTTTTAATGGTTCCAACTGGACCCGGCTGTCCTTGATTATTGGTTTTTCAATAAATGGTTCTGGTTCAAGAATCAATCTTAATCAATGACAAAGCATTCTTCATTAATTATGTAATCTTCTTCATTCAACACATCATTCACCCATCATTCAGCCATAAAATACTCATTCCGGTGTGTCAGCCTCGCATGCATCTAAATCTGATGATCGACTCGTCTACTGATGATCAATACTTCTACTGATGACCAATCTGGTGATCGACTCTTCTACTGATGACCAATCAGATGATCAATTCTTCTACTGTTGATCAATCTGATGATAGACTCTTCTACTGTTGATCAATCTGATGATAGACTCTTCTACTGATGACCAATATGATGATTAATTATTCTACTGATGACCAATCTGGTGATCGACTCTTCTACTGATGACCAATCAGATGATCAATTCTTCTACTGTTGATCAATCTGATGATAGACTCTTCTACTGTTGATCAATCTGATGATAGACTCTTCTACTGATGACCAATATGCTGATTAATTCATCTACTGATGACCAATCTGATGACCAATTCTTCTACTGTTGATCAATCTGATGATAGACTCGTCTACTGATGACCAATCTGATGATAGAATATTCTACTGATTACCAATCTGATGATAGAATCTTCTACTGATGACAAATCTGATGATCAACTATTCTACTGATGATCTTGTTACAGAAACGAGCAAAGCAGGAGAAGGAGCGAGACTTCCGCTACAACGCCGTCATCAGGTCGCTCATCTGGAGGTATGTGTCTGCGATGCATCGTCAGGCTGATGATAGTCCGGTCACTGATGATGACATCAACGAAGTCAAGGGAGAAATCACTGCGATGAGATACGAACTGCTGGAGGTCCTGGAGAGGAACGGCATGGACGTGTCTTCTGCTGACAAGAAGAAAGACAGTGAGTACCATGTAGAGTCAAGAAGCTAGAGGAGATGTAGGGTTTTAAAGTTGTAGGTTCCAAAGGTTTTTAAGTCCACATGGTCCAGAAATTATAGGGCCTAAAAGAGACGGGGTCTGGAGTGGATATGATCTAGAGGTTATGCGATCTAAAAAAAGGATCTAAAGTTTATAGAGTCTAAACCTACGAAGTCATAACGTCTAAAGGTTCTAGAAGCTAGAAAATCTAGAAATAATAGGGTCTAAAAGAGAAGCTATAGGGTCTAGAAGCCTCTAACGGATACAGCCACTACAATTGATAGGGTTTAGAGGTCATATAAACGTAACAGGGTCCAGAAGTTTTAGGATCTATTAGTATAGTCGTAGTGATGTTATACTTTCAAGAAGATATAGCATTTACATCTGAGATATAGCATTTATGCAGAGAAAGTTATTATAGTTACTATTAGTCTAATTTAGATCCGGTAACTACCACAGATCGATTAGGAACAGTATGTAATCTACATTAGGTTATGACAAATTATATTAACCTTATGTGATTGGAAATTCAAACAACTATATGAATCAGCAGTATTAAATAAAACTGTATTTAATTCTCGATCCAACAATTCGTTATGAAATCAACCTAAATCAACCTTACGAAAAGTGAAGGAAAATAAATAAATTTATGAATCAACCTTTGAATATTTCACGCAAAATTTCAAAGATGGAAGTTATTGGATTGTTTATTGGTCATAGAGGAACATTATCAAAATTGTTTGTGAACTTTTGGAAAAAATATGATTTGGACAGAACCTTTTTTAAAATTATTATACATGAAACATTAAGAGGTTCATTGACTATAATGAGAAATCATTTTATGGCAAACTTCAAAACTAATCAGTCTTTAATCCTTCAATATTTTAAGTGTATATTTTTTCTGAACCACCATAAGAGCGATGTTAATTGTTGATTCCTTCGTATACGAGTGATCTGATTTCATAACCAAGCCAAACTGAGAGACCTTTTCTAAACTTAAACACCTTCAAATTTTGCATGTTACATTAAAAGTACCAAAAACTAATTAAGAATAAAGTAATATAGATACTGATCTAGAACACTATGTGATAATCGTATTTGAATATATGTTTCGTAATCTACAGTCAGTACTTGTAAACCAGATGCCTGCCTACTTAAGTACCCAAAAGTGAATAGCTGTACAACCATTTCCCCTCTAGTTTAAACTGGAAACTATTCTACATGGTATAAAAATGTTGCGCTAAACATTATTAACACACTCTTTTATAACACAGCCATACGCGGCTTGAGTTTCTATATGATAAATCACAATTAGACATTTTTAAATAATGGTTCCAAACTAGTATACTGTACGTTTTTGTTTCATCAATCAGAATCTGTTTGGCCTAATTGCCTATGACTTAGGCTCATAAATGGAACGCCCAAGGGAAATGTCTAAACAACAGTTTTGATTGACAGCTAGACAACACCTCTTCCTGGAGAATTGATGGGAGAATTACTCAACTCTACTTTCACAGTCTTTGTCAGCTTTACTTTCACTTCGCTCGTCTTTGTAGTGTGCCGTAACTCTTGACTTCAGTGTCTTCAGGCGCGGGAACATTAAACAAATATTTCACGAGTTCATGAAAATTCTAGAGAATGCAATAGAAGAGTTAAAAATATGCTATTAAAAAAATTCCAAGAGGTATGTCTTGGATTTGAAAATTCGAGATTATAAAGCATAATTAAAAAGATACCGAAATAATTCATGTTTAACTGTTTCTTCATTCATGTTTCTTCATAAGCAGTGAGTGCCAGGAAAGTATTTACTGAATTTGGAAAATTTTTTCCTAACTGTAGCATGTCTTCTGGCCCAAGTATAATTCATTATTCTAAAGTAAAGAGAAAATCGTAACATTTACCCTAAATCAAACGATATATATATATATAGTTAATTAGATATATATATACATGTACATAGTTTACACAAGCACACTCCATCGTATTTAGGCAGTGTTGAACTGTCATTAAAACAGTATATTAAGTTTACATTCCTATGAGAACTTACTTTCAATATTCAAATTCAGATGACAAAGCCCCCTCTACATAACCCATACAGAACTAACCTTAAAATAGTCATCAGCTGATCCAAAAGAATAATCCAAACGGAAGCATATTCGACCCATTGTTGAATCAAGATGGCGAGTTGAGATCAAAATCTACAGATGATTGCGAAACCAGTTTGCCAGAATGATTCACCGTTATGCACACCCAGTTTTTACTGCAACTTCAAGATTTTACTGCCAATAAACCTGACAAGATATCCAACCAGGTTGCAATATCCCTGAAGCCATCACGAATGGCCTCTTTGATAGTGTCAAATTTATAGTACTTATCATTGGGTGATTTGTGTCACTGGATGCAATTTTGTGCATTTTGAGTTTTAAGTCGATTGAATTATCAGTCAAAGGTGGAGGTTCAGTTTGTGTGGTCAATTTAACTTCTTTATGGTGTATAGCTCAAACTAATGTGAGTTAGAAGATTGATTTTATTCACGAAGCAGATTGGTCTAAAAAGGAAACTTACATTTGATCGATATTAGGCGTTTATAGGATTGTATATTGACTTTAAATAGTATGTAAGGGTGTTGTTTAATATATTTTTTATTTGAGAAAGTATTTAAACGAATCCCTTAGCCTATAAAGTGTAATGCTATAGAAGTTTTATTTTCGAGTAAATTTGTCAAAGTATAAAATTTTATAGGGACAAAGATATGTTGTAATTTACTATAGGATCCCATTCCGACTGGAATTATCAATATGGAGTAGGTGTACTGGATAGATATGTAGTAACACATTGTTATTGAATTACTTGGACAGAGTACTTTTTTTGAAAACTTGCCACCAATTTACCCTGGAATGGAATCTTCAAACGGTTGTGTGACAAAAAGTTTCACCCAATAGGAAGTTCATTTACAGTATTCTTTTTACATCAAACGTCATCAATTGGCTTTGATAAAGATTTAGAACGTATCGAAATAAAAAAGAGACTCACAACCTCTTATAAAATATGAATTCTTCACTGAACGAGACTCTAAAGCGTTATTTTCTTTACTTAAGCCCCTAGTGTTAGTCAGAGTCTTAAAGGACGAATCTTTTCCGCTTTTTCTGCTACTTCCTCACTTATTCCTCAGCCACGTTGGCTCGCAAGGCCAAGGTCTGGGAGCGTCGTCTCATGAAGGACTTCCACCTCACCCCCGTGGCTGGAGAAGACGACCTGGAGACGCTGATGAACCAACCTGTACCAGAGAACGAGGATGTCCTCGCGAGGTTCCGCAGAGTCGCCCGACTTGCTGTCCTGTCTTCCACGCAGCAGAAATGGAACCAAGTGGTCACCAGTGCTTGCGCGGCGTATGTTGAATCTGTTTTGAGAACTCTCGTAGATCTGTTTGTAGTAGTTGGTTTCAAAGTATCCACCTTGAATTTACTTTGGTGCCCTTGTAGTATAGTGAATCTTCCAAATTCTATTGTAAATGATTTCTCACCTTGGTTCGAAGATAATTTGATTTGAATGAATCTTAGTTTTGAAAAAAACATCGTAGATCTGTTTGAAGTAGTGCTTTATAAAAGATTCGAAGTATAATAGATTGACCTTGAATTTCATTTGGTTTCCCTATAATATAGTGAATCTTCCAAATTCTGTTGTACATAATTCCTCAACGAGGTGCTAGGCTTATTTATCTGGATGAATCTAAAGTTTTGAACGTGCTGGTCGCAAAGTCATTCATCTTGAATTTCCTTTGGTGTCCATGTAGTATAGAGGATCTTCGAAATTTTATTGTAATTTCTCAACGTGGTGCTAGGTGCATTTATCTGGATCAATCTACAGTTTTGAAAACCCTTGTAGAACTTTAAAATATGTTTGATATATGGCTACTCCGTATTGTTCTTGAATGTTCACATAATTTGAAGAACCCTCTAATTTTGCAAGTAAATAATTGCTCAACGAAGTGTAAGGCGTGTATGTCTGGATGAATTTTCAGTTTGAAACCCCTTATAGCTATTTGAAGTATATTTGATTAAAACCCGCATCCTGTATTGTGTTTGGATTTTCTCGTATTGTGAGGAGCCCTCTGAATTCTTTTGTAGATAGTTTCTTGTAGATAAAGACGTATGTGTCTGGACGAGTCTTCGGTTTCCAAAACGTTGTATCAGTTTGAAATAGCATTGATTATTGAATATAGTTCTTGAATTTTTGTTATAATATCCTTTTTATTGCAGCGAATCTTTGGATTTTCCTTGTTTACAGAATCACCCTATATAGTGTGAGACTTGTAATGTATTGATGTATCCTGAGTGTTGAATACATCAAAAAAGTATATCTTCCCACCCCATACTGTTGTCGATGTCTTCCCAGCATTAATTTTTAAAATTCATAATCCCTTTTCCCTTTTAATGATAAATTTGAACTCTTATGAATGTTACAGACGTGTGCCTTACCTGTGGAATTGCTTTTATTTTACATAATTTTAATACTATTTCCAAAATGTCGATGTATTATTGCTGTTGTAGGTTGTTTAGCAAAAATTAAATATGGTTTTCTAGAGATCACTGGAATCAAGCTATCCTGTTGATATCCTATTAGTTTTAACCCATTAGCTTGTTTTCACTTGTTTCCTCCAATTACACTATTCAATCTTCTTTCTCCTCTTGTTCAGGTCTCAGATCGGACGCTGCAACAACCGCATGTCCCTCCGCAACCAGCAGAACCTCCAGAAGGCCATGGAAGAGGCGAGGAAGCTTGTGCAGAAGATGCCGGGGTCTCCCCGAGGACACTCTCCGTCGCCCATCCATCTACCGGAGACTACAGGGTCGACGATCGTGGAGCTCCTTAATGACATCAAGGAAGAGACCAAGGACCTTAGGACACCCACGGGGACCATGGGTCATGGTCCTGGAGGCGGCCAAATTGGTAAAGGTACGTGGAGTCTGATGGGTAAAGATGGAGAAAGTTGTTTGGTGTGAGAAACAATGATTCAGTTTCAAGCTGGATGAAGGTGTTGGAAAAATGACTGAATGAAGAGGACGTAAAAATGTATATATTTACGCAGTAGGGGGAATTTAGACTGTTGTAATCTGTACGATGGAGTCTATATCCTGACCAGTTCTACGGATATGGATGGCCAGGAGACAGGTTCCATCATACAGACTATAGTGTCTACGTCAGTAGTACCATACATTTATAAGAAAGTGGTCCAAACCTATAGTTTGATCATTAGTTTTGGATATGGCTAGGAACACAACGAATTTGATTTCGTAGTGACGTTATAATTGTTTTCAACATACTGTAAAACTAGCTTATGAAACTCCTGATGGTTAAAGTGTGACTTACTTTCATAAAAAAACATTTGAATGCTTAACAATGTACTAATAAGTGCTTAATAATGTACTTTCTCTTGTTTCTTCTTACTTAGATGTTCATAAAATAAAAATCCTCTTAGAATTAAATACAAAATATCAACAAGCCTTTGTGAATTGGGGGAATTAATTTATGCTGAGTTGACTTTATTGCTCAAGGGTATTATGTACTCTAACGTATAATAAAAAATCATTACAAACCTCCTTCGTTTCAATCAAAATTTCATAAAAGATGACCTTCAAGTCAGAAGGTTTGAAGGGTTGAAGGTTTGAGGGGTTTTGATTCCCGACTGTGGTCGATTGTGGCCCACGCTATTTGTCATTGGGGTATCAATCAATGATGTCACTTAACAATAGATGCACGTTAGACAGCAACAAGACCAAGCTGGTACCATTTCCTTACAAAAGAACTTTAAAGAAAACCACTGGCAAATCACACAAGATCCTATTTGACATTTAAACCCTTTTAGGAATGTTTCGCTACATATAAGTATTCCTTCTACAATGATCAGCAAACTCTCTAGACCTTGAATATAACTCGATATTCAATTTTCGTTCTTTAACAATTGAATCGCCATAAATTCAAATAATCAATCATATGACCATTTATCATCAAATTAATTAATTCCAAATCGCACGCTGACGCTAAGGCGGCGGTTGAGCTTAGGAAGACATAAAAAAGTCTAATTGGCAGTCGTTAAGGCGCCCAAAAGATAAATTTTGAACTTTGTACCGTGCTGACATCTGACATTGACCCCTAGAAAAGTGGTCGTTTATATAAAGCTCTGACAAAGAATTGAGTCGTAAATAGTTTATAATTAGTTTGTTGTTGTATGGGAAGTAGGCCTTTTGTTATTTAATAGTTCACTGGTCAAATTCAATGCTTGTTTGTGTACAGGGGTGTAGACGAAGAAATCAGATGAAAAGAAATAGCAGCTGAAGCTAATAATTAATGATCAATTCATTTTACGTTCAGTAAATTTTTGACGTGAATTATGTGCTTAAAATGTGCGCAAGGTCAGTGAAACGCACAACTGGTAAAACATTATAGATTCTCATACACAACTTTAACCCAAGGAAGTTGTGTCTGGCACACATTTACGTGAAATGCAATGATTTTTGATAAATTAAGCTAAAAAATGAGACCATCTTTTGTTGACAGTTTTTATGGTACTTTCTGTTAATGTATACTCATGTTCTAGGAGACTTAAGTGCATTTTCTAGGGGTGCTAACACTGCAGTTTAAGTTATAGGGGTGTCCTACTGTAGTCCTAGGCTAGGCTTTCTAACTGTCCTGTTATGATGCAAGAAATTACTACAACATTACCTTATAATTTGAACACACTGAATGTGATTGCATTTTGCAGGATCTTGTGGTGGAATGTATCTTGCCGTCAATCAAACATCAAGGAATACTTCAAGGAATATTACTCCCAACAACACGATAGTTCCAGCCGAGAAACAACTGAGTGCAACGAAACCCGAGAGCGACAAGAGGGATGCCAAGAGAGATTCGTCTTCCGAAAGAGACCCAAGTCCTCTGATCTGCCAAAGAAAGCTAGGAGTCGGCGAGGCTCCTCCCAAGGTTTTCAAGAAGAAACCTCCACCTCCCATCCAAGACCAGGAAGAGAGGAAAGCAGAAGAACCTAAGAAACCTGCGGAACAAAGAGCCGTTCCAAGACATCATTGTATCGACACTGATAAACTAGAACCTAGAGCGCCTGGTCAAGTATCTTTCGCTCAAGAAAGGCAACCGTCAAAATCCGAGATTGTTAGGAAACCTGAAGGACAAAAGCCAAGGGAAGGTCCGAAACCTGGAGACGCTATTCCGAGACCTCAAGTTAAACAGTCTGGGGAAGACGTTCCCAAGAGACCTCCGGGAGCTGTACCATCAACTTCTGCAGGTGGAAAATCTGCGATGGCACCTCAGCCGATGGCCAAACCTTCTGGTCATCCAGGATCTTCGAATAATCCAGGACCGTTAAATCTGCAAGGACCTTCAAATGCTCCGGGATCAGCAAGTCTTCAAGGCTCATCACATCTTCAAGGATCAAATACTCAAGGATCCTCTAATGTTCCTTCTACATCTTCACAGGCTAACTTCAAACCCTCCCAACCTTCAAACGCCCCACAATCTAAACCTCCAGCTTCTTCTCACCCACCAACTCGACACATCATCCCTAAGTTAGAACTCTCCTTGGCAACCAACAGTACCAATGACGACTCCCCAACTATGCCGAGTACCTCCTCCAGCACGGAACAGCTGATCACGGCAAGCCCGGAGACCCTGAGGCCCGTCAACCGAATCGAAGATGTCAGTACCATCAAGAGAGAGAAGAAGGGAAATTGGTTGTGAAAAGTTTGCGAACTTGCGATCGTGTTTTGTTAAGACTTGATTTGGTACGATTGACATTTAATGCTGGAGTAGATTTTTAAGTTGGTATGATTGTGTCTCCTTGGGTATGAGCTACATTGTTTTGTGGGGTTTAAGTTTGGGTATTTATTGCTCAATTTTCTTGCTGGCTATTTTCAAATTCTTTTGGCGTGGTGGGAGGTGTAAATTAATCCAAGCAAACATTTGTAGACGGAAAAAAAGAAAAATATTTAATTTGATGATGATGAATGGTGTTATGATCATGAAGCAACTCTTTCTCTATTGTTTGACGAAACCCAGCTCACACAAAATAGACACAATTGTATCAACGAAAAATTCATATCCGCTTCAGTGTTCTTTGTCAAAGTCAGTACCACAATTGACGAATCAATGTTGTTATTTTATTTGCAAAATAGAATTACTTTCATGTTACGTTATTAGCAGTAATTACAATGCTTTAGTTGGATATCCAGCATAAAATTATCGACGGGATGTGATAATATGAAATATTATATCAATTATTCAATGTATTCAAGATTATTTTCATAATCAGCATTATTATTATTACATGTATTAAACAATGCTAACTTTTATCATGTTTAAAAGCTAGTTTTAGTTTTACTATTAAAATACAGAACTGTTTATGTTTCGTTTTGTGTTGTAAAATTTTATTTCGACAAAGATGTATTTATGTAATTTAGACAATACAGTTTCTTTGTAACAAAAAGTGTTTATTTTCTCGCCCAATAGTCTTTTGCTACCTTACAAGTTAATTAGTAAGTATTGATATGTCAAAGAAATGTTTATAACGAAATAACTGGTGGTTATCACACCATATAAAAATATTAATTTCATTTAAATGTATTTCAAACATATATTCATTCTCAGGAAGTATATTCAAAATAATTTATCAAATATCCATGATCTTGTAAAAACTGAGTGGATAAAAACTTTGAATATTGGAATGTTTCAATTAATTATTCAACGAAGAAAGAAGTGGAAACTTTTAATGAAACTTTTTGAATGGGTTGTTATCAAAGTTTAAAACTTGTGAAAGTATCGATGATTCAAAAGAGTTTTTAATCAAAGGTGGTTTATGAATAGAGTCAGTCTTTTTGGTGTATTTAAATAGACTCCATTCAAAAGCTACTGTTTATGTTAATATATGAAGTGTTAAGCAAAACATCGAAATAAAAATGTACACATTAAATCAAACTGATGTTAATTAATGATTTTTCAATGAGATTAAAACAACAATTTGTTTGTGATTGATTTCCAAATTAAGTACGTTATTTAAATATTAACTAGTGGTCGGCTCACTGCAAACGTCTCTATTTTTACCATATAACATGTGATTGAAATGTCCTCCATTTGTTTTGAATTTTCTGTTTATATTTCGTCACCAGCATGGCAACCCATAAGGACCATGTCAATTTTAAATTCATTTTGACATATTTTAAAGCCTATTTTAATTTATAAAGGGATTCTGCACATCTACAGGCAAATATCTTTCCAACAGTGTGCGTAGATTTTCCCTGCGATGCACACGACCTGAGAAAAAAGGTTTTCAAGAAACATGCTTGCATATTTATATATAGACATCATTGAGTTTGAACTCCAAAGCAATCACTTATACGATAAGGTTATGTAAAATAGTATTCACATTAATCGTACAATTAATCGTACTTTGAGTTTGAAGTATAAAAAGATATACTGCAACTCAAGCATCTAGTTCAAGATTGACTCAATCTACCAACCTAATCTAACCTAAACCTTATCTTACCTTACCTAACCTAACCTTACCTAACCTAAACCTAAACCTAACCTAACCTTACCTTATCTTACCTTACCTAACCTAACCTAACCTTACCTAACCTAAACCTAAACCTTACCTAACCTTACCTTACCTAACCTTACCTAACCTTACCTTACCTAACCTAAGCTTACCTAACCTAACCTTACCTTACCTAACCTAACCTAGCCTAACCACATTACAAAATAGATTCGACAACTCCGATACAACTAGAGGTAGCCCTTGAGAGAACTGCAAGACGTTGGCCGCAATTTCTACTAGGATATTAAACCATTTTGCTTAGTGAATTTGAACTAAAGAATTGTGGGATTGTACATAAAGCCATGAGACAATCAGCTGATTACACTAGCTCAGTAGTTTCTACAGACGGCAAAACTTAAAAGCCACGTGCCACCACTGTGGGAGGTCTTGCTCATTGCTGGCTGCTGAAGTCAATGTGAGACAAACTTCCCAGAAGAGATAGTGTCTGATGTACTCAGCAAACTACTAGTGATAGACAGAGCGGCTAGGCTAATGCTGATAGTATATTATAGTCTGTATGATGGAACCTGTCTACCTGCGACTGATGTTTTACACCATTGGACAGTTCCTAGATGGACTAAAGTGTCAAGAGACAGGATTCGCAAAACAGACACATAGCTCAAATTTTACATCTCAAAGATTTGGTCGTGGATAAGAGGTAAGTAGATTTTTACCACTTACCATCTTTTATACGTATTTACCGTCTTGTGAGTAAACAGTACAGAAATTGTTACAAGTGTTATTTGACGTTTTTGTGCTTTCAGGTAATTTAAGACATGTTAACTCTTAGAGAAGTTATCAAGACTATCATTGTTATTACTACCTACAAAGATTAATAGTTGTTCCATTGTATGTTTATTGTTTATGTTCATTTGTCAGAGATTTTATAACCCATGTTATAACACGACAAAATATCCTTTCATAATTTTGCCACACAACGACAATATTTCAATACAAGCTAACATATTTTTAACCCCGCTTAAAAACGGTATTCGTATCTCGCATGAATTTACTCTACAAGAACATATATGTATCTAACAAAAAGGTACACAGCTGACTCAACGTTCGTTTTACGTATCAGCCAATATTTGTTCAGCAAGGCGGGATAAATGGGACACTAGTGGGCAAACACAGGTCAAAACAAGATACAGGTTTATGTGATCAGACTGTTGTTTTTCTCGGTTTGAACCGAAGTAAAGAAAGAATCGTTTTTACTTAAATAAGTGGTATATTTTTCTTTATTTTCCAATATTCTGTTACCTGAACAGGTTACCTGTTACCTGTTACATTTTACATGTTACATGTTACCTGTTACCTGTTACCTGCTACCTGAACTTATGTGTAATCTGTATTTTTCTGCAGATAAGTACTGTACTCCTATTATTACTACTTGGTCATAAAGAAAGAAGGATCTTCAACAAAATTTAAAAAAATCATCAGTAAAACCAGCACAAAGCAGACGATACACAATGGAAAGTACAAATTTGAAACATGAACATATTTGTAAAATTATATTCTTTTCACTGCTGATATGGCTAATATAAATACAGCTTTGTTACTAAGATCAGCTGTGTAGCCAGTCGGAAAGTCCAATGATCAGGAACAGCTGGGTCCAGTTTCGAATAATCAAAAAGCTATAAACTTTTCTCAGGATCGAACCGACGGCCTTTTATATTTGATAATTATATACTGTACTAAGACACACAGGGAGATATGCAGGCGCGTGTCTTCTTTGCTGACTGGACTATGGTCATCGGATACTCCGTGGGAAGCGATTGTGAACCTTACAGACTCCAGACGAAGAGCAGACACGCTAAATTGGCTCTTCAGGGTCAATGGCTTCGGCTATTATTAGGTCGACAATCGCTTACTTCACACAACAATGGACACATTAGGAACCGTAATGCCACAATGTGAGGGTTGATTGATGTAACAGCTGTTGAAATTGATGATTAAATGATTTTTATTTCGCTCTATTATTAGTAAGCAGCAGTTGAACTTTCTACAAGATGGTCTTTTTATTTTTTGAGTGTAACTTAGATTTTCAGTTTTTCTCTAAACCTGTACTAAAAAGGATACTAGTGTTTTGTCTCATGTGAAATATTTTGCAGGAACAGAAATGACCACTATAAATCAAAATAATAAAAAACACATATGTATACTTCATATTAGTGGGTAGGCCTACATACGCAATTTCATCAAAATCGTACCACAGATTTAGTCTGTAGCTCTCTACACATCCATATACACAGACATAACTTCGAATAAGTTCAGGGGGAGGGGACCAAATCGGAAATGTCAACCCAAAATTCAAACTCGAAAATGTTGACGAAAACAATACTTTCTTCGTATGATGTATAGGGGGAGAACATATTAGCTGATCCAAAAGTATGATTAAATGTTTAATACAAGGCGTCAAATAAAAAAAAAAAACAATCATTATAAAGTACTTCATATTGTAATTGGAAAAGTGGTTTTTTATACCTTATACTAGAGAAGACCAACTCCACAAAACTTATGACCAAGTTAGCCACCAACGAGCCATAACTGCGCTAGCTTGAAGTTGTTTTTGTTGAGCAATTCAACCACTATTGTTGTATATTGGGTTTTGTAGAAAGGGGTCTGATGTATACTTTAAATGGAATCGTTACATCTTTGCTTATAGTTTTGGTTTAGTTAGACATCGTATTTAATTTATGATCGTTTTAAACTTTATAATTTATATTTTTATTTTGAATTATTAAAAACTAATTTGGTAGATACTGTGCACAAAAACGTACACTTTATAATGATTTTGTGTGTGATAGCTAATGTTAAACATGTTGTGGTATGTTTAACGTGGAGTTTTGGATAATAAAACAGATTTTTTTATGCTGGAATTTTAAAATTATTTACTAAAAATATAATTTGATTTAAAAAGTTAGAACTTATTCATGTTAACAGAACTTTTTTTTATTGAAGAGCTTATTGTACAATTTCTGTAAGATTTTTTTGTTCTTGTATAGCTTAAACTTATTATTTAGAATATGTATTCATTAAATTCAGCATTATCTTTGGAGGTTATCAGTTGTAATCAATTTTTTTTATTATTTTTTTTTTGCATGGATATTTCTGAAATTGTAAGATATGTGCGTAATTATAGTATTAAGAAACCAAGATTGAAGCAATTTTGGGAACTAAGGTTGTTTACCAAATCAATTTAGGTTTTACTTGAAGACCAATTTATGAAGCTGATTTACAGCCTGTGCTGCCAACGTATTTCGCGTGCATACGACCTTGTCTGCATGTTACGCCCTCACTATTTCCTGCCTTCACGTTACAAATCTGGAGTGAGTGAGACAAAGTAATGAGAGTGAGACAATGTTAACATTGTCTCACTGATGAGCGAATTGGCCACTTTTGCTTTCTCAAATCAGTGAGAGAACATGTACATTGTTTGGTAACTGTAGGAAAGAGTATTTTCTACCTTGCTATTTTCATATGAAACCAATAGTCAGAATCGATGTTACTTTATGTTTTCTGTTAAATAGTATTCACTCAAGTTCTTGTAAATTTGATGAATTAGTATTCACGTATATCATTAAGTTTTCCTAAGTCAAAACTTCAATATTGAAAGAATTTTTACGCTTGAAAACACTCACTAATGACAATGCTGCGTAAGCTTGAAATCAGGTGTTTCCGACAAAATTTTGCAAGCATCGCAAAAGCAAACTTTTCCCTCTCTTATTTTCATTATTAAGCTAGAACTTTTTTTTCAATATATTACTTTTACTGTTATCATTAGTGTGATTTTTAGCTTATATTAAAACATTCATCAACTAAAATTATTTGCTTTAACTGGTTAAGTTATATTTTCTCATTGTTAAGAAATTTCATTAAGCTA